ATAACACTATGAACTGAAAACAAAGATGTGTCTTACAACCGTTTTGCTTTAAGAAAGAAAGAAATTTGGTAATTCTACTGCGACTAAAATAGGAGGAAGCAAGACTTACAGAAAACCAAGGAAGGAAAGAAGAGCAACACTGAATTATTAAAATCAGTATGACTTGGTGAACATCCAAATTTGTAGTGCTGTTCATTAGTAGCCAATGTGAATCAATAAGAGCTTAACTTACAAATTGCTATAAAATGAAGTTTAGATGTGCCAACTCAGCTTGAATAATTTACAAAAAATCAAAAGTAGAAGAGTTTTGTGAAATCTTATGTTTAATTTCCAATTCTATTACATCTCTTAGGATTTACAGTCTCAAGAATGTTTTGACCCATCAGATTGAGAGAGAGACAGGAGGGGAAAGGATAAAGCAAGTGTAAAACGTTAGCCTTTGGGGGTGGGATTGGATATCATAAAAATATAGGGAGGGGTCTGGGGCTGTAGCTCAGTGGCAGAGCACCTACCTACCATTGTGAGGCACTGGTTGGATCCTCACCACCACATTTAAAAATAAATTAATATTGTGTGTCCCTCTACAACCAAAAAAATATTTTTTAAAAAGCAGGGGGTGGGAATGCTGGGGTTGTAGCTTAGTCATAGAGTGCTCACCTAGCATATGTAAGGCATTGGGATCGATCCTCAGCACCACATAAAAATAAAATAAAGGTATTGTGTTCACCTACAATCCCCAGTACCACCAAAAAAAAAGCATATATTAAAAAAAAAAGATATAGGGAGGATCAGTGGAGTAAAAGGAGATCAAGAGGGAAGGAGGACGTGGTACAATGGTGCATGCCTGTAAGCCCAGCGGCTGCGGAGGCTGAGGCAGGAGAATTGCAAGTTCAAAGCCAGCCTCAGCAACCTAGCAAGGTCCTAAGCAACTCAGTGAGATCTTATCTCTAAATAAAATACCAAAAAATGACTGAGGACGTGGCTCAGTGGTTAAGTGCCCTTGGGTTTAATCCCCAGAGCCAAAAAAAAAAAAAAAAAAAAAGTAGTGATGCATTTAAAAAAAGAAAACTTAATGTTTGAGGAATCTGGGTGGAAGGTCTCTGGGAATTCTTTATACTATTCTTGCAACTTTTCTATATAAAATTGTGTGAGGAAAAGTCTGTAAATATTTAGGAAAGCATGATTAGAGTATAACGACAGAGCGCCTATTATGTAATAGACACCTAACAGAAGGAAAGTAGCTTCCACATAGGGACAGTGGTTCTTTAGCACTGTTGGAAGTTGGGGCACAGAAGTGCTGTCCTGATCAGTCCTCATCAGTGAAATTAGTAATCTTGTTTCCTCTGCAGATATATGCCTACAGTAAAAACCATGAGTAGGATATAATATCACACTTCCTCTTCTTATCCCATAATGACCAAGCAAACATTTACAATGGCATTTTAGCTTATCAGCTTTTTTACAGGAGGAAAAAAACAGAACATTAACTTTTTTTTTTTTTACAGAATATGATTTTTTTGAGAGAGAGAGAGAGAATTTTTTAATATTTATTTTTAGTTTTCGATGGACACAACATCTTTGTTTGTCTGTGGTGCTGAGGATCGAACCCGGGCTGCATGCATGCCAGGCGAGCGCGCTACCGCTTGAGCCACATCCCCAGCCCAAACTTATTTTTTTTAATTAAAGCATTATAGTTCTACATAGTAGTAGTTCACTTTGACAAAATCATACCTACAGGGAATTTAGTGTGTGTGTGTGTGTGTGTGTATCAAATAGATATTTTTTTCCAGGATACCCTGCAGATAGTAAAATCTAGATACTCAAGACCCTAATATAAAATGGCATAGTATTTGCATATAACCTATGTACATTCTCCCATATACATCATCTCTAGATTATTTATAATGCTTAATGCAATATAAATGCCATGTAATTTTTATACTGTATTATTTAAGGAGTAATCACACACACACACACCCAAAAAGTATACATGTTCAGGATAAATGTAGGGTTTTTGGTTGTTTTTTCAAATGTTTTAAGTTCAATGTTGGTTGAATCTGAGGGTGCAGAACCCACTGGTATGGAAGGCCAATTATATGGGCTTCTCATTAGTGAACTGACATTCTGGTTTATCAGTTTTGGTTTTTTGTTTTGTTTTGTTTTGTTTTCTGGTACTGAGAATTGGACCCAGGGGTGCTTAACCACTGAGCTACAGAGCTACATTCCCAGCCCTCTGTATTTTTTTGAGACACATTCACACTAAGTTGCTTAGGGGCTGAGACTGTCCTCAAACTTGCAATCCTCATGCCTCAGGCTCCCAAGTCACTGGGATCACTGGCCCTACCACCATGCCTGTCTGGTGTCAGTCTATTAGTCCAATTCGGACTTCATCACAGAATATGGGATACATAATGTCATCACAGCCATGATGTGAACCACGAGGTATGATGGAGTTTAGGAGTGAGTGTGCCTTTCAAATTAATTTCCACTTAATAATTTGTTTTCTTGACTCTCATTCTTTTCTTTTGGAGCTGCTGGGGATCAAACRCAGGGCCCTGCACATGCAAGGGATGCCCTCTCCCACAAAGCCACACTCCAGCCCTTCATTCTTGCTAAGGGATAGAAGAGCAGGGTACTTCAGTATAATTCTGGCTGTTTTGTACAGTTAGTTTCCTGAGTGGCCTTAGCCTCTATTCTGGAAAGAAAAAAAAAAAAAAAAAACATACTTTCTTGGTACCAAGGGTCAGAAATTTATATCAGCACTTAGGCTGGTGGCAAACAGCCTTCTTGGCTAGAGGTAACTCTCAACCAGCATGACACCCCTAACTCCTAAAAAGTGGGGGAGGGGTGAGTGTGTACACATCCTTTATGCTAAAATTCTTACTGGAAAGATGGCCCAAATAATATAATAATATAATAATGATTTGCTGGGATTACATTCCTGAAAGAATATTTAATTGATCCAATAAAAATCTCTAATGGAGGGCTGGGGATGTGGCTCAAGCGTTAGCGTGCTCGCCTGGCATTCGCGGGGCGCTGGGTTTGATCCTCAGCACCACATAAAAATAAAATAAAGATGTTGTGTCCACGGAAAACTAAAAAAAATAAATATTTTTTAAAAAATCTCTAATGGAGCCATGCACGGTGGCGCAGGTCTGTAATCCCAGCAGATCAGGCGGCTGAGGCAGGAGGATCAAGAGTTCAAAGCCAGCCTCAGCAAGAGCAAGGTGCTAAGCAACTCAGTGAGACCCTGTCTCTAAATAAAATACAAAATAGGGATGTGGCTCATTGGTCGAGAGCCCCTGAGTTCAATCCCTAGTACCAAAGACAAAAATCTCTTTAAGAATTTCAACCTTGTAACCATTAAAAGTGGCATGGAAGATTCATACTATGGTTGACAGGAGCTCTCTATGGTGTACCAAGTGATAAATTCAAGTTGCAGATCAATTGGGTAGCCAAAAGAGAGACATATCAAATTGCTCAGTGGTGACCTGTGAAACAGGGGTTGAGGGGAGATTTTGGTTTTTATATTTGAGGTACGGGGGATAGAACTCAGGGCTGCCAAGCACTCTACCATTGAGCCATAGCCAGAGCTCAAAACTTTAAAAGGATGGGGGKAGTGGACTGAGGAGGTAGCTCAGTTGTAGAGTGCTTGAGTGACAYACATGAGTCCTGGATTCAATCCCCAGTACCACAAAGAGAAAGAGAGAAGCTGACAGAGATTTATAGATTTAAGGACTGCCTTCAAGAAGTTTCACATTTGCTCAGTACAGACAAGAGGRTGGACAGGCCCAGAATTCCACCCCACTGAAAAAAGGAGAAATGAGTTAACTCACAATTTAGAATTGTGGACTGTGGTAGCTAAATAAATATTGGGCAATGCAAACAAAAATTATTTGGATTTCAGAAAAGTTGAACCCTATAACTCATGTGGTAGTTAAGTTACAAGGTCAGTTGTCTATTAGTACCACCTCTAGGTTACGGCAATAAAATCTTAACATAAAGGGATGGGTACATACAAAAACTAATCTCAATTAAAACAAACAAAAATTCTTCCTAACCCTAAATCTTCTATTGCAATTGGAATTCTGTTTCTAATTCTTGCACATTCCTCAATAATCAATTCCCATCCTAAGTCCAAGGCTAAGGAGAAATCAATAAAAGCCACAAACCATTTTACATGATTCCCAACAGGGATTTAGATCACTAAGTACTCAGAACTACTTAGCTGCAAAATTTATGCGAAAAGGTCTACTAGGATGACCAAATTTAAAAATTGGCCCAGAAAATACTAAGGAATCACCCATTTTAAGTTAAACATCATAGGGGGCCCCAAACTAACCTAATTCGTAAGACCAGGGAAGAGAAAGCCCAAGGGATGTGCACAGAAAGAGGACAAGCAAATGGATCAGAGAATAGGGAGGAAACAGGGTCCCAAGCTGTGCGGAGGGTGGAGTAGCTGGTCAGACGAATGCAACTTCAAGGTGTCTGAAGGCTGCACCTGAGGCGAGACTTGGGTGTGACTGTGGCATTAGCTATTTTAAGCACCTGCTCCAAGGTAAGTTTGAGTAGTAGATGGTAATGGTTAGAGCCAAAATAAGGGAATCTTATAAATTGCAGATAACTTCCCTCCATTAGCTTGTTCTTTAAGATTTGGAAACGTAGGTAAATGATACTAGAATCTTATGGATTATGTGGGCTGAGGAAGCAGAAAAGGCAGCAAGACAATAGCTGATGATGTCACTTATGTATCTTTATATAAATACCGACAGCCGGTGTTCCAGCCAAGTATCTCAAAACAAAGGCAATTTTTTTTTTTTTCCCTAACTTGTACTTACTCCTTTCTCCCAGGTTACTTTAAGTAATTATTCAAGTACTGGAGATTGAACCCAGGGGCATTTTACCACTGAGCTATATCCCCAAATCTATTTATTGTTTTATTTTGCGATGGGGGCTCACTAAATTGCCCATGCTAGCTTCAAACTTGTGATTCTCTTGCCTGGGCCTCCTGAGTTGCTGGAATTACAGGCCCGTGCCACTGCACCCAGTCCAGGTTAATTTAAACAAAACACGCTGAGTCAGGGTGAATAGACATATTTTCCTGGCAATACATAATCATGCCTTCACTAATATCTATTTGACAACCTTATTACTAAAGTGCGAAGATTATCATTTTTCTTCCTTCTCCATGATAACCTACCTTCAGAATAAGACCACAGAAAGAAGAATTGTTTTTAAATAACCTAAACCAACTCAATTGTCATGTTTTCTTACTAAATACACTCACTCTACTTCTGTACTGCTTTTCTCCACTCTAATGCAAAAGTAATCTCATAGTGGTCATCTTAAGATACAGAACAGGACTCAGGTCAGTCATTCATCACTTTATTCTGAAGATTGAGTGTACCTCTCCCTCTAATCAAAGGGCTAGAGATGACCTATGCTATCACGGTAAAGAGAAGCCCCACTCTTCCCCAAGTCCATGAAGCCCTTAGATCTCCTTTTGTCTGAAGCAGTCACAGCAGCCCAGCTAAGCACTGTAGCACCTGCACAGTGCTTCTCTTGTTGAAAGCTTCAAAGATTAGGCTGGGGGCCCGAGATATGGCTCAGTGGTAGATCCTTGCCCGGCATGCCTGAGGTCTTGGGTCAGATCCCCAGCACCACAAAAAAAAAAAGTCAGATCAGTAAGATTTAAAACCTCATCTTAAGAGGAAATATAACACACATTTTAATTTGTATTTAAAACTAGCTGAGGATTTAGCTTAGTGGTARAGTGTGTGTTTAGTATGCACAGGCCCTGGAATCAATCCCCAGCACCAAAATAAAATAAAACAAAAAAGCCCTAAACTAAAAATAAATAATAGGGTTCTTAAACTTTCTTGAACTAAGCCATAAGATGACTAGGCCAGTCCATGGGTAAAGTGAGAGTATGAGATACCAAGAAACAGGCAGACTCTTTCCATTCACTTGAAATCTGTTCAAGGTTCAGATAATTCAGTAGTTTTTAAAAGGCCTCAGCCAGGCTGGGGATGCAGCTCAGTAGTAGAGCACTTGCCTAGCATGTGTGAGGCCCTGGGTTCTGTTCCCAGCACCACCAAAAACAATTCAAAAAAAAAAAGAAGCTTCAGCTCTGACATATCTCAGGAGAAAAGCACAGGTAATACCCAAACAACCAAGATGTAATTATGCACTTGGCCTTGATGGACTGAAGCAAAGCCTGGGTGGCCCAACCTAATAAATTAAGCATGAAACAAGAGGCTTAATTAAAATTAGTTCTAACACCATGTACAAATTCCACAACGCACCTTACTTCAGAGGGAAGTCTTAAGAAGTTGATCAGCCCTCAACCCTCAGCTAAGGAAGAGCCCACCCTACCCTTCAAGGTCAAGCAGTAAATGCACCTATAACGTGGAGCTGGCAAGAAAAGCTCCCTCTGGTTTTGATGCAAGAGGCAAGGGAAAAGTCAGAAGGATTTCTAGATAAGGCTGGGAAATAAAGGCAAACTGAAATCAAATTAAACAGGTCTCACAAAAGAAGACAATCATTTGGAGGTCTTATGAAGAAACAGAACTTCCATGAGAGGACAAAGAAAGAGAACTGAGCAGCAGCCGTGAACTTGAGCAGGAACCCCTCAGGTGCTCTGTGATCCTCAGCTGAGTTGGAGAGTGTGGTCTGCATTCGTGGGACTGTGCATCGTGTATCCCAAAAGCAGTTATGCATGAAAGTTCATCTTCTTTCCTTCAACTCTTGAGAACAGGAGCAGACACCCCTGCCACTGACCCGCCAGGCCACCGCTGCCACTCCCTAGCTGACCCACGTCCTCAAGGCTCTCCAATACCAGCACAATGTCTTCAGGCTTTACCGCCAGGCTCGATTCAGGAGTTTCACCTGTGCCAGTCTCTTAGTGATCATGGTGGCAAAAACAAGGCCAAAGAGGACACTGCTGATTAACACATAGTCATAGTCATCCTTCAGGACATCAAACTGTTTGGATGGGTAGACTCGCGTTTGGTAAATGTCCAAACCATAGGCCACAACCTGGGAGACAGACGGAATGAGAATTAGGAAGAATGGCAGCCGGAGAGCCACCACAACCTCAAATTCGGGGACAGAAGGGAATGCTATCCTCAGCTGTTTCCCAAGAGTGGTACGATGAACAGATGCCTTACAGGGTGGCTGTGGGCTCCACTCACCAAACAAGTGGACTCCAGGCCTGAGGGAGCCGTGTAGATGCCTCGCATCCGGGAGACTGTCTGGTTGTAGTTGATGAAGCGCTCTGCATGTATCTGTACGTCTGGAGAATACGGGATTAGGTTCTCCTCTCTGCAAAACAACAGAGGGGACAGGCACTCTGAAGCTGCTGTACAGGGACCCCWTGGCTGCCTCTCCTTGGTCCTGGGATTTTTCCAGGCCACATATCTAACTTCAAATCTCCTGTGAAGCCTACTTGGATTAAGTGGTTAAAATCTTAGGGCTGAATGTTAGGAAGGCAGTCTGGAGGGTACKGCTGAGATCTGGATTCCTACTTTGCTCTAAACCTGAAAAGCAGYAATATACAGTTGACGGGGATTTCACACAGAGGAGAAAAGTCAGGGCCATTTTCAAACCAATACACTGAGCCACAAGGCCAGCCCCTGCTCTCCACTCCAGTGCCTCTATCCCGCTCCTCCTGGCCATCATCCCCGGTGCTAGCCACCTTTCTCATRCAGTGCTCCAAACCACACTCCCCTGCCCCTCAAGGACAAATCTGCTATCTTTACAATGTCCACACTGGSAGTGCCCCTAACTGAACAGAAGTCAGGATGGAGGTGGGAATGTACACAGAGATGGTGTCTGCTGACAGTGAATGACCTATCTGTTGTCCCCAGGCCTGGCCCCATGACTTCCATGACTCGCCAGTGTCTCCACACTCAATGATCTAGCCACACAGGCCTATCCTCCCGAACTCCGCAGACATGACTGCAGGGCCTCAGCCCACCTGTTCCCTCTTCCTAGAAAGTTCTGCGTCATCCACAACACAGGATCCTCCACCTCCTTTAGGGCTTTACTCAAGTCATTCTCCTTTTCAGAGGGGTTTTCCCAGGCCACCTGATCGCAAATCCCACCTGGACACATCCCCTTTGTAGCCGGCTCTGTATTATTTTTCCTCCTCAGCATTACAAGTGCCGGATACTGCACTTAATTTTCTTGTTATTTATTTATTTATTTTCCACCAGAAGGTAGGCTCCTCTTCGTCAGACTTATTCAAGTCCCCAGTCCCTAGGTTGGCAAGATGGCACAGGGCAGGCTAACAATCAAAGTTCATTGGTGAAGTGAAGTTCCTATGGCCAGAGCCTTTAGCACAGCCACAGGGCCTCACCTGCTTTGTTCCGTTGGGATCTCAGGACGCCGGGGATCCAGCAGGGCCTTGGGGAGGGAAAGAATTGCTCCAGAAGGGAGCCCAACTGCAAAGGAAGAAGGGAATGTTCACTTACCTAAAACACAGGGAGGGTCAGTTACAAAAATACTGTTACAGAAATTTCAAATAAAGAGTTTAAATCAAGCAAAAGATTGGTCAAGGAGGCTCCTTTAAATCGTCAAAAATGGTAATCCAATAATATACATGGGTCTGAGTGAAGGTTCCCACTTTTGAAGATACTGGTTTCTTCCCATACCATCATCCTACGACACTAGAAGATGAAGTTCTAAATCAAGTTATGGGTAACGGTGAAAGAGAAGAGTGTGGAAGGAAGGCAACTTGGACTTCATCATCCCTCTGCCTCCCCCCAGTAGTCTCCTTCTCCTTAAGCAAAACAGGCCGTGTCTGGCAGTGTGGCCGGCCAGGGAGTGCGGCAGGCCAGCAGCATGAGTTTGTGTCGGAGTCAGTGATGCTGATGGAAGCTCTTACGCTGCCAAGAGGGTTGCCTTCCTCGGATCTGACAGTCCACACCGTAGCCAGTGGCTGTCTAAGCTGAGAGCCCCAAATGTAGGCCTAGGAGACCACTGAACAATCACTGAGTCCTGAACTTGGACTATACAAGATGAAATCTTGCYGACGTCTAAACAAGTCAACTCAGGCTATGTTAAGAATAATACCAGGGGGCTGATATTGTGGCTCAGTGGTAGAGCGCTTGCCCAGCATGTGTGAGGCACTGCGTTTGATTCTCAGCACTGTATATGAATAAATAAAATAAAGGTCCACTGACAACTTAAAAAAAAGAATATCAAGCCACATGATGTACAAAAATGGGATCTTAATGTCATGTAACCTTAAAAGAACAACAAAAAAATGACATCAGGACCATAGACAGTAGTGCACATCTGTAATCACAACTACTTGGGAGGCTGAGGCAGGAGGATCACCAGTTCAAGGCTGGCCTTGAACTTTTGAGACCTTGTCTCAAAAAAAAAAAACAAAACAAAACAAAAAAAAACGCTGGGGGTAGAACACCCCCAAGTTCAATCCCCAGTACCACAAAAAAAAAAAAAAAAAAAAGAATACCATCAGGGGTTGCTTTTCTAGCTGGGTGAAAACACCAAAGAAGGTAAGTGGTTCATCGAAATGAGGACTAAGAAGAAGTGGTCATCTTTATAGGGCAAGGCTAAACTTTCCCCCTGAATTGGAGCCCTTTTAGCCAACCTTCCATTACAGGTGGTCAGACAGGACAGCCCTTGTCCTTCAGTGTAGCTGCCTCAGGGAACCCGGCCATCCCAGAGCCAGCCCCCAGCACTCACTGAGCAGGTGTCGGCTGGTGATGCCCCGCTCAGTGATGGTGGCTTCCATGGCACTGATGGAGGAGGGGAAGATGTAGGATTGCTGGAGGACCTGGGGCAGCTGGGGACGGTCCAGGGAGCTGAAGGCGGTGGCATTGTACTGCTCGGTACCCTCATAGAGCTCCAGTGCAGTAAGCTCGTTGCGCCGCGCCTTGGTGTTCCAGTACTGATACTGCAAGGAGAGGAAAACTACTCTGAAAGGCACCTTTCGAATCAGCTATAGACCCAGGGAGGAAAAGAAGCGCCTAGCACACCAGCTTACTTCCTGGCTCCTAAGTTTACTAATTTTCAAGCCAGTTTAACTAGGCTATTCACAATTTGCCACATGACAAAGAAATTCTCAATATTCCTAGAAGCTATATTAACAGCTAACTAGATGCCTTTGAGTGCTTACCAGGTCCYAGGAATTGCTATTAGCAAGACGAGGTGACTGTTATCATCCCTATTCCACCAGTGATGTAATGCGGAAAGCTCACGCATTAATTCATAGTCACACAGTCAGGAATAGGAACAGCCAAGATCACACCTAGGCAGTGTGGTTCCTGAGCCTCTGCCCCTAACCAGGACCTATGCTGCCATCCAGAGACCTTTGGATCCTATGAAAACAGAGAGCAGCAACTGGGTTTCTGGAAAGAATTTAAGATGCAGGAGACCACTGGGCACAGTGGCACACACCTGTAATCCCCACGGCTAGGGAGGCTGAGACAGGTGGATGGCAAGTTGAAAGCCAGCCTCAGCAACAGTGAAGCACTAAGCAACTCATTGAGACGCTGTCTCTAAATAAAATATGAAATAGGGCTGGGGATGGGGCTCAGCGGCCAAATGCCCCTGAGTTCAGTCCCCAGTACTTGAAAAAAAAATGTAAGAGACCTCCTGAGCTACCTTATGTCCCTGGTCCCTTCTTACCACCACCCAATTCTCTGAATGCACAATATGGACAGGGCCCTTGGCTTTCTTCTGCACAGATGAGTGGATGATACGCCCAGTGACACCATCAATGAGGAAGATGCCAATGAAGGTGCGTTCATGGTGGACATCCATGCTCTCGGTCACCACGGCCAGCAGGTTGGGATTCAGGCTCTGGGGAGAGACAGAAAAGCTCCTTCAGAAAAATGACATGTCATGTGCTTGGCCTCACAGTGAGCCCAGGGCCACTGTGAGGCTGACCTGTGATTCACTGGCCTGGCAGAGGAACCAGTGTTTCTAGTCATAAGAGCTTCTCATCCCTGGGCTTAGTTTATGTCCACTGGGATTAGGGGCCACGCCAAGTGCCTTGACTCTCCCTTAATTCCCTCAACAACCCTGTGAAGTGGCTTATACCACCCACAGTCCACCAATGAGGAAGTCAGAGCAGTGAGGTGACTTGTTAAGTCTCAGAGCTGGCACTAACATGGCCTTTGGAGACCCCAGGTCTGGAACCTCAGGATACCACTCTAGCACTGTCACTTCTCTCCACCAGGACTGTTCTCCCCAAGGTCACCGGTAGCCTTTCTGCCCCTAACTCCAGTGGGTAAGTGCTGGTTCTCATATTACCTGACCAATAGAACCATCTGGGAGAGTGAGCACGCCCTCCTCACCCAGGACACCTCCCCCTGGTCTCCTTCTGCCTCACTGGCCTCCCCTTCCCAGCCTCTGGAGGAATCCTCCGCATTTCCCCAGGACCTTCATGATGGAAATACCCACAGCACTCAGGCCTTGGATGTTCCCCTCTACGTTCACCTCCTGGTGACCTCAGCCAACCCCTACCACTATTTATAGGTGCTGGCAATGTTCAAATTAAGTATCCAAGCCAGACCCCAGCTCCCAAAACTCCAGGTATTACCATCAGCCATTGACCTCTCCTTAGATTTCACCTGAAACTTCACAAGCCCCAGGCTGACTCTTTGGCTGTACCTGGCTGTGCCTGGGGCCTCCACCTCAGTCAACAGCACTCCATGTTTTGATGTCCCAGAATCAAACTGTCCAAGTCATCTCTCTCTCTCTCTCTCTGTCTCTCTCTCTCTCACACACACACACACACACACACACACACACACACACCCTACCTATCAACATTTCCTATTGACTCTACTTTCAAAAAATATCCAGAATAAGTTTCCTCTTCACCACATCCTCCAACCCAGTTCTGCTGCCACCCAGTTCTGCTGCCACCCTCTTCCCTGGATGACGACAACAGCCCACTGGTCCTGCTTTCCTCCTGGGCCCTCTATAGTCCAGTCTGGGCTGCATGGGCCTGTTGAATCTCAGCCTACGTCACTTCTCTGCTCAAAGTTTCCCAGGGGTTCTTCCTCTCACTCCAAATGAAGCCCGAGTGGCAGCCTGTGATGGGTCCCACTGTCTTCAGCAGTCCAGGGCCCTCACTCGCTCTGTGCCGGGCACACAGCCTGCTGCGGTTCTCAAGCACATGAGGCATGCTCTGGTCCCTGTCTGGAAGGCTCTTCCCCAGGTGGCCACCATGACTCATTTCCTCCCTCTGAGTCTCTGCTTCTTTGCCACCTTCACAGGGAGGCCTTCCTTACCACCTGTTTTAAACCCGAGCCTGCCAACACACTGTATGATTTACCTATTTATTGTTTTCACTATTAACTTCTCTCAACTACAATGACAGCCTCATAAACTCCGGAAGTTTTGTTCTTTGATTCACTGCTGTATTCCACTATCTAAAAACAACACACGGCATCCAGCCAGCACTCAAAAATAGTCACGGCTAAGCCTCTGTGGACCTCCTTCCAAAACCCATGGCCACAGTGCAACCATAGGAAAAATATCGGGGACTCCAAAATTGAGAGGCATTCTACAAGACACCTGACTAGTACTCATCAAAACTATTCAGTGGGCTGGGGTTGTGGCTCAGTGATCAAGTGCCCCTGAGTTCAATCCCTGGCTCCCCCGCCACTCCAAACTCCAAATATATATTTAAAAAGGGCTCAGGACCTGGGGTTGTAGCTCAGTGGTAGAGTACTTGCCTAACATGTGTGAGGCACTGGGTTCAATTCTCAGCACCACATGTAAACAAATAAAATAAAGGTCCATCAACAACTAAAAGAATAAAAATAAAATAAAATAATAAAACTATGGAGATCAGGAGCCTGGTGTAGTGGCATATACCTGTCATCTCAGCAATCTGGGAGACTAAAGCAGGAGAATCACAGGTTTAAGGCCAGCCTCAATAACTTAGCAAAACCCTGTCTCAAAATTAAAAATAAAATAAAGGGCTCAGTGGTAGAGCACCTCTGGATTATGACTATGAAGTCACAAAGTCCTACTGGTAGCTACTATTCTTTTCAGCACATGAAAGTACAAGTGCTCTAGTTGATTTTAACTTTTATACTTATGGATCAAAGTTTATTTTTAAAATTTTATCTATGTATATATACACACACACTAATATGATTTTTTTTTTTTTTTAATGATCCTGAGGATGGAACCCAGTGTCTTGTACATGCCAAGCAAGCATTCCACCAGCCCAAAATGTACTTTAGAATTTGTAACATTTTGGGCATTCCAAATGAACTAAAACTGACTGCTGTCACATAGAAGATGTTCATCAATAAAGAATTCAAGTTAAGGACAGATGCGGTGGTGCATGCCTGTAATCCCAGCCGCTCAGGAGGCTGAGGCAGGAAGATCAGGAGTTCAAAGCCAGACTCAGCAACTTAGGGAGGCCCTAAGCAACTTAGTGATATCCTGTCTCAAAATAAAAAATGAAAAGGGCTGGGGGTCCTGTAGATATAGCTCATGGCAGAGTGCTTGCCTCACCTGCACAAGGCCCTGGGTTCAATTCGCAGCACCACCAAAAAAAAAAGAAGAAGGGCTTGGATTGTGGCTCAGTGGTAGAGTGCTCGCCTAGCATGGGTGAGGCACTTGGTTCGATCCTTAGCACCACATAAAAATAAATAAGTAAAAATAAAAGCATTGTRTCTACCTACAACCAAAAACGTATTTTAAAAAAAGAAAAAGAGGAAGAAAAGGGCTGGGGATGTGGCTCAGTGATTAAGCACCCCTGGGTTCAATTCCCAGTATTGAAAACAAGGAATCAAATAAATAGGATTAATAATAATGTGACCCCGTGGCAGGCATTATTCCAAGCATGTTACCTTTAACCTTCAAGACAGTCCTCAGATGTCAGTGCTACTAMCCCCATGATACTCGTGACAGTGAAAGAGTAGGTAAACTAAGTAAATGACCCCTGATGAAGAGCAAGTCTGTGGCTGGGCAAATCTGGACCTGACAGTCCCACTGGAGGCTTGCACTCTGCTGTGTGCTTCATGCTCAGGGAAGCAGCGTCTTGGGGAGGTTCCACAGTCTTGTTACACTATTCTACTGCACCCTCCTCTAACTTAGTCTCTGGCTCCATCAAAAGAGGTATGAAAGGTCATTACTACCAGGATTACCTTCTCACACAAGACRGTCTTGCAGCCCACCAGTCACCCTGTCTCCCTGACGGACTGACTAAGGGTTAGCCCCAGAAGGCTTTTATCAGTGCTACTACTAATGATAAAAGCTAACATCTATCAGGTAGTTACTATATACCAGGCACTGGGTTCAGCACACTATCTCATGTGATCATCACCACAACTCTAGGAAGAAGGTATATCACACCCAGGTTGGGGTATAGCTCAGTGGTAGAGAGCTTGCCAAACACAGGGGAAGCCCTGGGTTCCATCCCTAGCACCAAAGGGAAAAAATGACACCCACTTCACAAATAATAAATATAGGCTCAAAGGAATTAAAAGCAAAAGTAGGTCACCTATCTATTAGTCCTAGTGCCAGAACTGAAGCCCTTATTTCCCTCATTCTAAAGGCCTCACTCTGCCAGGCTGCTGTAACATACCTTGTAGAGCACACTACGGTCCCCCATCACCCGGCCCTGGGAATGGACATGCTCGCTGCTGCGTTTCCCCTTCACCTTGACAATCCGCTGTACTTCTGGGGGAATGGTCAGCTCCCAACTCAGTTCAGTGGTGAGATCCTAGGGCAGGAGAAAAAGTGCTTGTGTTCAGAAGGGGACACACAGACCTCAGACAGCTACAGCTGGTCCATCTTGCAGTTCAGTGTCTGAATATTCTGGGTTAAAAGAAACAAGATCAGAACTCCTTGAAAAATAGCAATAAAGACCTAGCTTATGAAGAAGTTTGGAACCCTTGGTTTGATTAAGAGAAATACTAAAATACCAGGCACAGTGGCCCACGCCTGTAATCCCAGAGGCTCAGGAGGCTGAAGCAGGAGGATCACAAATTTGAGGCAGACTGTAAAACTTTCTATTTATCTCAAAATAGAAAATAAAAAAGGCTGGGGATGTAGCTCACTGGTAAAGTGCCCCTGGGTTCAATTCCCAGTATTAAAAACAAAGAAAGAAAAATATTAAACCCAGTAAAGAAAAGAATACCCAACAGTATTCCATAAACAGTAATGTTTATCCAAGGAGGATGTCTCCAAGGAAAGTTTAGCATTTACTAATAAAATCTGAGATCCCTGCACACCAGGGCAGCAGTGAATTAGTCAGCTAGCCAGGACCTCAAAACCTTTCCATAGTCATAGGAAACAAACATGCATTCACCACTCAGTATGTTATTAGACATCCACACCACAGAATTACATGGAGCCCTTGGGGACAGAGGGCCCGGGACTGGAAAGGGACAGGAGCCTTCCCAAGTGCAAGTGCTCTTTCGATTCTTGATGTGACTGCTACATACACCAGTGGATTCCTTTCATGCAGGTTCATTGAGCCTCATGATTTTATACTTTTTTCAATGTTTCACTTAAATCAAAATGGAATTCTGAACAAAAGGTTAAGGCAGAAAACACATCAGATGAAAAAAGCAAATAAATACAGGCCAATTTCCTTTCAGTAAGAAAACTTTCATGAGACACAGGTGTGTATCCACACAGCTGTGGACACAGCCTCATAAATGCACATGCACCAGAGAAGAGGCATCGAGTGCCATGGGACGACAGCGGGGATCGGGTGGCGGGGCTCTCACACCCTGCTGTGCGCCTCGGTAGCAATGCAATCTCTCGTGATGAGAATGAATTCGTGTATTCCTTAAGTGTTTTAATAAACCTTTTTATTAATACCAAATAAGGTGTCTTTGCCACAGCCTCCTTTGAGGACTCACTAAAACATTCACATGAGGGGACAGGCAGTGAACACGCTTGGAGGTCAGATGGAAAGGCAGCCCTGGCTTGGGCCCATGGGAAGATTCGCCTCCTCCATCTTCCCTTAATCACTGTTGACTCGGATGAAGTCCCCGGGGCTCCACTGACTCACAACAGCCACGTCCTCTTTGCTCCCCTGTCTACAAAGAACATCTCCTGCAAGGTCCCTTTTATGAACTTAGAAAGATAATTTCCTTTTTCCCCTGAGGGTAAAGCATGTGTTTTCTGAGCAGGCCACTCCTATGCTGTTTACGATAAAGTTGAGCTGCCACACATACGTCAGGAAAGGGCATCACACTGTCAAAACCTCCAATGGAACTGTTTCAGTGTCAGCCACTGATTTACACGACTTACATGTAAGAATCCCTGGATCCTCACAGCAACCTCGTGCAGGTGCCTTTACCATCTTATTTTATAGACAAGAAAACATTGGAGATATATGCCCCAGTTCACAAAGTTAATGTGACAGAGCTAAGCCAGGCATGACGGCAATGCCTGTAATCCCAGTCATTYAGGCTAAGGCAGGATTGCAAGTTCAAGGYCAGCCTCAGAAATTTAACAAGACCCTGTCTCAAAATAATATAAAATAATATGGGGGAGTGGCTCAGTGGTAGAGTGTTCCTGGGTTCAATCCCCAGTACTGCAAAAATAAATAAATAAATAAAAGCCCTTCCAGGACAGGAGAGGAGGTCTCTCTGCTGAATACACACCACCAAGTACCCCTCTATGTAGCCCTGCTAACTAGGCCAAAGCCATCGTTTGTGAACCTCAGAGCTGGTGTGTATTGCTGTATGGAAGAGCTCAGCTCAAGTGCGTCAGGATCAAAGCAAACCAACCCTATTTCTAGAAATAAAATTTAAAGCACATGCTTTTTCAAGAGCTGTCCTATAATATCTCCTTCATATAAATATACAACTCATTACTCAACCCCTATTCCCATGTCCCACCCTCCTTTCCCTCTAAGAATAGGGGAAAACATCTTTTCCCTGGGCTATAAGGAAAGAAATGTGGAATGAAAAGTTCATGAGGGCCAGGGATGGTGGGCACACCTGCAATCCCAGTGGCTCAGGAGGCTGAGGCAGAGGATCTCTAGTTCAAAGCCAGCCTCAGCAACTTAGACCCAAAGACCCTGTCTTGAAATAAAAAATAAAAAGAAATGGAGATGTAGCTCAGTGAAGGACCTCTGGATTCAATCCCTAGTACCAAAAAAAAAAAAAAAAAAAAAAAGGGCCATGAGGGAGCCGTGCACAATGGCCCATGCCTGTAATCCTAGCAAATCGGGAGGCTGAAGCAGGAGGATCACAAGGTCAAAGCCAGCCTCAGAAAAAGCGAGGTTCTAAGCAACTCAGTGAGCCCCTATCTCCAAATAAAATACAAAACAGTKCTGGAGATGTGGCTCAGGGGGTGAGTGCCTCTAAGTTAAATCCCAATACCTAAAAAAAAGGCCAWGAGGACAGAGGCTTAGTCCACCATGCACTGCTCTGTCCATAGCACCCAGACCACGTCCTCCAMGCAGAACCTGCCAACCAACATGAGCAAGTGATCGATTTTCAATCAGATACCAGGGTTGTGCTGATCTAAAAGTACAAAAAGATGAATAGCATCTCAGCTAAATAACTTGGCAACGCCCACATCCTCCCACAAAGAGTCCTGCCAGAGCACTCTTCCTACCTTTCGAAGCCGGTATCCACTCAGCCGTCCCTGCTCTGCATCCACCAAATAGAAGAAGATGGAAGGGGCAAGCTCATGTAGCTGTCTCAAGACATTCCGTGTGGCTGGGAAAGCTGTGACCTTGAAAACCCCAGAGAGCCCATACAAAACGTTAAAGAAAAATTCAGGAATTGCTCAGCCCCATTTCCCAATACTCACTACTGCTTCCCCATAAGAGACAGCCTCAAAAATAAAAGAGCAAATCCTAAAGGAACTAGAGGCAACTCCGWTTAGGGATTAAGCTTAATTCTACTAAGTACCTGTGTATTCACAAGTGCAGAAACGCAAGTCACAAAAAAGCCAGGCACACACAGCAGTCATGTCTCTGAGGGACGGTCTGAGGTCAAGCATATGCTGACTGCAGATAGCATCTGCCTGTGCGCCACCTGTGTCTGACCACCCCATGCCACACCCTACTCCACCTGCCATGTCCCAGGAATGCATCCCCCAGGAATGTAGTACCTTGTACTCATCATCTATCAACAGCAGCACCTTGGCATAGTCTTGATCCATGACCGGGAGAAGCAAGGACTGCAAGATGGGCCGCTTTAGCACGGGGGGAGCCACTTGACTCCACTTCCCAAAAATGGGATTAAARACGTACAGAGAACTCATTCCTGTTTCCTAAAATGGACAGAGCAAACTGTCAAAAAATTTGCAAATCCTAAGGGTAAAACAGTATAGCTGAGACTTTGGCTCAACTGTGAGAAAGTCCTATTCTTTTGCCCTCTTTGTGGAAATACATTCTTGGCTGAAGGTGAATAGTCCCAGAGCTAATGTCAAAGGAAAAAAACAAACTGCCTTTGGCTCCAAACATAACCAAGAACTGGACACACTGAAGAACAAATAAGAGCCAGGCACAGTGGTGCACGCCTGTAATCCCAGTGGCTCAGGAGACCGAGGCAGAAGGACTGCGAGTTCAAACCCAGCCTCAGCAACTTAGCAAGGTCCAAGCAAATTAACAAGACTTTGTCTCAAAATAAATATAAGAAGGGCTGGGGATGTGGTTCAGTGGTTAAGTATCCCTGGGTTCAGTCCCAGATACAAAAAAAAAAAGAACAAATAAGAAGGTCAAGTAAATACCAATTCAGCAACCCCCACAACGGCCATTCCAGAAGTGTCCACATTCCCTCTCTCTTACTATCAGAGATCCCCCAAATCCATTCTAATTTTGGGAGAGAGATATAAATAGCTTTGTGTTCCACCCTTCCTTATAGAAAACAGTCACTCAGTCACCAACAGTAGCCTATGACTAGAAAAGAAGAAAGCTGGCTAGAGCTAGATCCATTTTCTAGTCAATTCCTCCTGCCAGGCAAGAAACTGGAAGAAACAACCCCCAACCCCTGAATGTTCCTCTTGGGCACTTGGAGAATTCCAAAAGCCTGGGAGAAAATTAAATTTCAAAACACCAAAAGAGCCACACCCACTCTGCCTCAAGTCACACAAGACAGCCTCACCTTGTCCTTCACCAGGAGGGTGCACTGGGGTGGGTGGGGGAAGTGAGCAGTCGTTCTCTGGACCATCAGTTTAAAGGAGGAATCTGGCTTGACGCTGGGTAGATACTGTTTCCACAGGATGGTGCCAGAGCTGCTCTCAATGCCAAAAAGCTGCAAGGTAAACAAATACTCGACTCACTACAGAGAAGCCAAAGAACTGATTCCGTCCTTGCAAACTGGAACCAGTGCCAACCTCTAGCAAGGCTTTTTGACTCCCAATCCCTGAACTTCAGAAGATTTGGTACCCGGAGCCTACAGCCCTCACCTTGCCTGAGGCTGTTACCATCACCATCATCTTCTGCAAGTTGAACTCATCTCTGGCCAAGGTGTCGATGTTGATCTCGTTCTTAATCTGACTTCGGGGCTTCCGAGCATCGTAGAACATTTTCCAGAGGTGTGAAGTCCACGCCTGCAGCAGRATGAGCTGAGACGAGAGGCGTTTCAGGAACATCCCCAGCAGGCCATCTGGCATCAGGAAAAGGGTAAAGCACTCCCCATCAGACAGGGGGTCTGGCAAGGTGTCTGGACCCACTCTCCAAGGAGGACCCTGCTCTCTCCTGCAGAGCATCCAGGTCACTCTTGCTCCAGGCCAAAGCCCAAAGGGCAGTTTGCTCTGACACCCACAGTCTCCCACTTAGCCACACTCAAGCTTCACAAACCCAGCTCCTTTAACCATGTCTGTCTGGAACTGGGACTAGAGGACTAAGAGGCCAGGTTCACCATGCAGGATGCAGCCATGCTGTGAATGTCTAGCACAGTCCCACACCGAGGGTGGTGGGGAAGGCTTCTGGGTGCCACACAGAGCCAGAGAGTATGGGGTGGGGGTGAAGGGGCACGAGTATGTTCACGTGTATATCATGTCACCTCCCATTGCCTCATTCCTATTCTGTCAACTGATCAACATCACCTGACAGCATACCTGTGACCCATCCCAAGGCCCTCCTTCCCTCTAACCCTAACTTCATCATGAGGCTGCATTCTTCAAATCTTCATGGAGACTTGGTGGCAGCTACCAGGTGACACAGTAAACAGCCGTGTCTCTGGGGCCTGCTGGCCTGGATTAAAATCCCAAATCTACTCCTTACTCCTGTGTGACCTTTGGGCCTTGAGTTCCTCATCTGTAAAATAGCCTGCATCCTGGAGGGCTGTTATAGAGATCAGATCACAGAACACAGATACAGGACTTAGCATGGTGCCTGGCACGTAAGTGCTCACTACAAAATAGAACCWTTGTTGATCTATTTTCCATTCACCTCAGCTCAAGGAAGAGAMGTGAGGGGCAGAGAGAACAAGTCACAAGTAGAGCAGTTCACACGCACAGCATACACCTCATTGATGCAAGTTAGGAAAAACAATTAATCAAAAGCTAGCCGTGTGGGCAGGCAGCAAGCAGCAAGGCGGCAGGAGGTGGGCTTTACCTTGAATCGCTGGATCCAGGAAGCAGAAATAAACAGTAAAGTCAAATTAATTCTCCACTTAAGAAAATTTGCAATGCCTAGCAGGRCACCTGGCCCAGAGCAGACCCTAACAATCACTTCCATGAAGGGGAGAGGAAGGAGGCAAAACTGAATCAGAGTGGGGTGGATCAATCTTAYCTGGGCAGTAGGGACTACGGCTGGCTTCGAAGGACATGGAGCTATTTCCATAATAAACAGATTAATCCAGTCCTGTCTCTCCAAGTGTGGACAGTGCCTAACAACTGTGCCTGACAACCTTTAGATATTCAGGGGATGAGAGCTATTGTTTTACTGAGTGTTTTTTTTTTTTTTGGCCCCAGAATCTTTCCTGGGGGATTCACAGTTCACTCATACACTGGAAAGGGTGGCTACACAAACCACAGGGCCACCAATGCACTGGAAATGGAGCTCATTCACAACAGACTGGCCATCTGGCTGAACCAGGGTGCCAGGGTGCCATGAGGCAGCATCTCCTCGGGTTCAACTAGCAAACTCAGTCCAGGGCAGCCCCCTCCAACACCTCTGCTGTCCCATCCCTGGGTTCATACCTGCCTTCTTGCCAAATTCTCCTTCCAGCTCAGCCTGCGCCCCAGTCAGGGGGAGGTCCACCATTTCCAGGCACACCACTTCTGCCAGGGACTCCTCCCGGGTCCACAACACCACCTTCCCTGCTATGGGAAACCAGTTTGCAAAAGCTCAGCTTGCCTCCCTGACCTGTGGCAAAGCCAGGCACGCCGGTACATGCTTGTAATCCCAGCAAGTCAGGAGGCTGAGGCAGGAGGATCACAAGTTCAGTGACAGCCTCAGCAATTTAGTGAGAATTTGTCTCAAAAAAAAAAAAAAAAAAACAGTAAAAAAGGGCTGGGGGCTGGGGTTGTGGCTCAGTGATAGAGTGCTTGCCCATGTGTGAGGCACACTGGCTTTGATTCTCAGCACCACATACAAATAAGTGAATAAAATAAAGGTCCATGAACAACTTGAACATACATGTACACATACACACATATACATATATGTAAGCATACATGTAAGTACACATATACGTATACGTACAGATACACGTATATATATATATATGTACACATATACCTATATAACAGGGCTGGGGATGGAGCTCAGTAGTAAAGCACCCCTGGGTTCAATCCCCCATACCAAAATAAAATAAAAAAGGAATCAGAAATAGCAGAGTAAGGAGCTGAAATCAGCAAGTCAAATGCGAAACGTTCTATATGCCACCCTACAATGCTAAGGAATTACTCAAAAGTAGGTGACATATGGTTCTAGAGAAAATATTCAAGCTATACTCCACTTGAACCTTTCCCAGACCTGTTCRCAGCCCCCCAAAACCAGTCTGGGCAGGCTGAAACAAAACCAGGTTGAATGAGGTGCACTCACCCAGCTGCTGTAGAAAAAGGAGCAGGTGATCCTGCGTCTGCACCAAGGCCCGGTAGCCAACTGAGTCGTCCTTCTTCAAGAACACCTGGATGTACAGCTAGAAACCARGATCATAAGAATCCCAGGATTCAAGTATTAGGCACATCAGGTCCAGGTCACGGCAACATCTACAACTACCATCCACACACCAACAAGGTAACACACGTTCCCTGGAGTCAATACAATGGTCCCTCAGCTCTCTCAGACCAGTCCATGAAGGAACCCAAGCACCTGATGATATCACATCACCCATCCATGCCCTACAAAGCCAGCAGGAGGCCAGGACTAGAATTCCCATCATAAGATGAAGAAGCCACAGCCRAGAGGCTGAGGAACACGACTCAGTTCCCTGAAGGAACACTGGGATCACAAACACAGGCTGTGCAGCTCAGCAGCCCCAGCTGCACCCCCAGCAACACGTCTTACCAGCTCTGCAACTCTGGATACGGTACCAACTGCCACCAGGCCACAGTTACATTGGTAAAACCAAGTCAGTAACTAGCACTTCAGAGGACCACAGGAAGGCCACATCAATTTGTGCATCGGCAAAAAGCTCATCACAGGGCCTAGGGCACAGTGACAACCAGGCATAAATAATATCTGCCTTGGCTGTTATCTRTGACCAGTCAGAGGCTCAGGAAAGAGCTAGAACCCATGTCCAGAGCCCTAACCCAGGACCCATGGCTGTGACCTAGCTCTGAGGACAGGAAGCCCCATGCTGAGACACCTGCAGGTTTTCAACGTCTTCAGGCCAAGGCCCTGGCTCACCCGCTCTGGCCGAGTGTCATTCTGTTCCAGGCTAAAYGAAATTGCAGTGTCCAGCAGTCGCCGACCCGTCTCTACTAAGTAGAGGTTAATGGTGTAGGTCTGGTTGAAGCAAGCCAGCGAGTCCTAGGAGTGCAAACAGCACACATCAACTAGAGGAATCTGCCAATGGTCAGTCCCCCAAAAGATGTCCAATACCAGGGGCAAATACCCTAGAGAAGGGACCAGGCCAGAAAGGGAAATAGGTGCAGGGGAAAATAAAAAAAACAGAGAAAGCCAATTACTGAGGCAGAAATGAGGCACCTGGGTAAATAAATGAAATTACAACTACTACACTTGTTTTAGAAGGAACCAGTAAGTAGAGTGTGGCACAGGCATCCCAGAAAGAGGCGAGACTGCCCAAGGACAGAAAGCAGGGAAGAGCTCACAGGAAGCCACAGCTACAACCCGTGCCTTCAGCCAGGGCCACGCTTCTGTCGCACAGCAACTGCACAGGGTACACTCAGCTCTACCAGCTRGACCCCAAAAGAAACAGGGSAACTGAGGCCTAGAGAAGGATGCAATTAGCAACAGATTCTATGGATTCTACCTCTTCATCTCACTGTGAAAMAGGGTCAAGAGCAACACCATTTAATTGACAGTAGTTAGAAACCCAGGGGAACTCAGGGAGACCAGCTAGCCTCAGCTGCTCCCCACTTGCCCTAGTGGCCTCCTGGGACTCCAGGTCTGGCACGCTGCCAGATGCCACACCCTACCTGTGCACTAGACTTCTCCGAAAAGCTCCCCATTGACCCATCTTCAGAATTGCTAGGTTTCTGCTAGAAGAAAGAGAAGGACAGAAGAAAATTCAGATGAAGGGTCCCTTCCAATCCCAAAACAAAGCTTTTATTTCTGTCTTCTTGTCTCTTAGAGAAGGCAAATCTCACTTCTCATCCTGCCCACAAAGCCTATGTGGTTTCTAACTCCCAGGTGAAAGTGGGGATGTCCTATTAAGGCCTCCTTCCTGGGGAGAAAGGGGGTACGCAGAAAGCTCCAGATATGAGGCAAATTCATCTTTCAGCAGCCTCATGTATTCAACCTGACCAGAAGAATGCTCCCAGATTACTGGCTCAGGGCTCCCAGCAGAGAAGAGTCAGGACCCTCCCCCCACACCCGGCTAAGATTCTCAGTACTCACCACTTCGTTTCGACAGGTCATGACTGCRGCCACGGTTTTCTCCCCAGTGGTGCCAAAGCTCACCAGGGCAGTCTGTGGGGAAAGGAAGGGTCAGTTCCCAAATGGGARCTATGCCAGCCAGCAGCCTTCTGGAAGGTCACCTGTCTTGGAGTTCAAAGTGTTCCCAGCTTTGAAAATGATGGCCAGGGCATCTGTGAGCAGAAGCAGGCCTCAGCCACATCTAACAAGCCAGGCACAAGTCCCCCTAAGCCCCATGTTGCTCTTGTATCCATAAGAGGCTTTGAATGACTGTGGACTCCAAGGAAGGTGACAGTTTAATTCTAAAGACCCTCCAAGAAGAAAAAGTATCCTATTCCTACTATAAGGCTACCTCCAATCTCGGTCCAGAAGCCAATGCCTCCAGGTTCGAGGACACTGTCTCCTAGCATCGATAGCCCAGTCATTCACTCCTGAATCCTAGCCACCCACACTGCCAGTGGTTACCTGGGGGAAGTTCTTGAGCAGACTCAGAGCCCCGTGGTGGTAGTGCAGCAGAGCATAGTGATTTGGGGACAACTGTAGGAAGAACTGGGCCCGAGAAGGATCCACTGGGGTGGGCTGTGTTGGCAGGACCCGGGGTTGGAATCCACTTCCAAATTCTAAGTCAAGAGACTAAGGGAGGAAAGAACAAGGAGGATGAGGACATGAAGCCAACCAGTGACTAGCCCCCCAAGCTGGTGTCCTCTGCCCCACTTTGCTAGAGGATGTAACTAAGCCAGGCAGGTGGCTCCAGAAGCTCCCATTCAGCTTCCTCAAAGGGGAAAGTGGCCCATTTCCCCTGACACCAGCTCTGCCAGAGGCTTGAACTTCTCCTCAGGCTACCACAACCCAAAAAAGAAGCAGCACCACCACCAGAAGAAAGGCCCCCATAGAACTGTGTGCCCCATCCACGCCCCGCAGGCAAAGCCGAGGACCAGGGAAAGCAGCTGCAGCCCGTCGTCACCTGCAGTGGGATCTGCCGCAGTTCCCACTCTGTCTCCAGGGCCAAAGTGTGGAGGGATCGTGAGCCTGGGTCAGGGCACACCAGCACAGCCTCATCCACCAGGCCACAGGCTCCGGTAAGACGGTGCAGCCATGGAGTCGAAACCCTGACCTGCAGAGGGACAACACAACAGGACACTCACGAGGGATCTTCACATTTCTCTCAGCTCATCAGCAGCATCACTGCTAAAATCCCATGGAGGGTCCTAAGCTCAAAGGCTTGGATTGTGGTTGGTTCCACAGGGGTTTTCCTGTCCCCAACCCAACCCCAATGGGCCTCCCAAGAACCTCCAAAGAMAAAAAAAAAAAAAAATCAGGAATTTCTTTCTGGTCACTTGAAAATACACCAGATAACTATAAATGCCTAACACTTCGGACAGGTATTTCCCTACTATCAAATGTGGCTTCCTATTGTTATTTTACAGAATTATCTTAGAAGACACCTACATGCAGTGACTAGATCTGTGTAATTTTTAGCCACCCCAGAAGAGAACCACAAGAAAAAACGTACTTTAAATACACACAGATGAAGACAAGACAGCAGCAAGTGACCAGAATTAGGGACTAAATGACTTTTGCAACTGTCCAGCCAACTTTTCTGGTCCCCAGTGCAAAAGAAGGGTTTTCTTGACTCCCCTCCCCATTCACGAGGCTCCTCAAGTGCCATGCCCTCCCATACCTGCTGAACAATCTCTCCATCTTCCACGTTAAACTTGACAATGTTCACATGGCTAAAGGGAACGATGCCGAGGGCCCACACCACCCCAGAGCCGTAGGAATACACCATCTGGTAGTGGATGCTGTCACTAAGAGGCAAGAGAGAGCAGGGGCAACAGCTTTATCCCTCAGACAGGAACATCTTTAGGGGTCTTCCAAAACTTGGATGCTAATCCTTAGACAGATGTCACAAACTGGAAATTCCCAGATAGGTTTGTTTATCTCACACAGTTTAGAGTTTTACTTCTGGGTTTGTTTTGTTTGCAGTTCTGAGATCAAACCCAGGACCTCATGCGTACTAGGAAAGCACTCTACCAAAAGACCCCTAGTCTTTTTTTTTTTTTTCATTGCTTTTAGGGGTTTGTTTAGCAGTATTGGGGACTGAACTCTGGGGCACTCTATACTACTGACCCATACTCCCAGCTCTTTTTATTCTCATTTTGGTATAGCAGCTCAGTAAATTGTCCAGGCTGGCCTTGAACTTGCAATCCTTCTGCCTTAACCTTCAAAGTATATGATTTCAAGTGTATTTCACCACACCTAATTACCTTGCTTTTGTTTTTAATTTCTTGTAAACATTCCTGAGATTATACATAAAAATAATATTTCCAGCTTTTCTTAGGTCAGAGATGTGGTGACACTGGACCTAAGTATAAGCCTATGTACCTACAGAACACCAATCAGCTGAGTAAGGCTGACCCCTGGAGGTAAGCTAGGTACACTGCAGTTCCCAGCAGTCCTCATCAGGCCAATGTGACTCATAGATATTACACACTTGGTCCCACAGGAATTTGACTTTTGATCCCATCCGTATCTGAAAACTGCCACACGAGGTCTAAACAGAACCTTTCCTTCTCCTCCCAACTCTTGTTCCTTCTCAGCTTCAAGTGTCCTCCACCAGACCCCTGGAAACAACTGTTCTTGATTATTCTAGCTCTTACTATGAACGAAAGGCTCAGTCTAACTGGAACTAGAAGTGGAAAGGCCCAGAGCACCACACCCAGGAGCAAGCAATACCCAACCCACGGCTCCCTTGCTTGGTGGCTCAGGGGTTTTCTCCTCCCTGCAAAGACACTCCAGGCATAGCCACAGCTTCTGCCTTCAGACCCACATCCAGGGAGCACAACCCACCACACATGACACCAATGTGCAGGGGGCCTGGCAAACGCTGGAGGCCCCTTAAGGAGAAGGAGGGGCTTATAAGGGAGAGGAAATATGTAGCCACCATCTGGAAGGAGACAGCCTTACCTTTCTGGGAGTTGTTCTACCCACTTCAGATGCCCACTGGAGAGGTGATGGAGGGCAAGAGTCGTCCTCTTCAGGACTGCAACATACCTCACAGAGTCCTGCAGGCCCACCAGCCCAAGTGCCTGGAAACTGAGTACAAGTAGAGAGTGAGCCTCAGGCCAGAGCAGACAGTCCCACCACTGTCCCTGTGGCTTGGTAGGTAAGAAAACAGACTTTGAATTCAAACATACTTGGATCTTAATCCTGTCTCTGCCAGCTTGTTAGCTGCCTCAAAAGTCTACACACTGCTTCCCTAAACCCCCCAAATTCCCTAAGGGCTGCTCCTTTCTTTCCMTGGAACTTCATAGCAAACAGATCACAACCCCCTACCATGCACCCATGAGACAGTGCTATCATTATCGGGCTACCTGCCTGTCTGACTGTAAACTTGATGGAAGAAGTTATTTCACATATATGCCCATTGCCTGGGGCCACTAAGAATTTACCAGGTGAATTACCATCCTAAGACATATAAGCTAATGTAAATGACTCTATAACTTAACCTTGGCAAAGATGGAACAGTGGCTCAAGCTGTTTTCTAAACATGAAACTAAAACACAAAGTTTTATATTACGTTCTCATACCTAGAACATGGCAAAGTTCATGCATCATGACTAGGAAAAGAATTCAAGCATAAGAATAAGCACTGGGGGCTGGGGATGTAGCTCAAGSGGTAGCACGCTCGCCTGGCATGCGTGCGGCCCGGGTTCAATCCTCAGCATCACATACAAACAAAGATGTTGTGTCTGCCAAAAACTGAAAAATAAATATCAAAAATTCTCTCTCTCTCTCTCTCTCACCTCTCTCTTAAAAAAAAAGAAAAAAAAGAAAAAGCACTGTGCCTTGCACAGAGCTCTGCATCTAATAGGTGCTCAGTAAATGCTGGCTGAGTAAACATGTGCCACACAGAACATCAAGAACAGATGTTTGATAACCAGGCACAGTGACATACACCTATAACCCCAGTAGCTCAGGAGGCTGAGGCAGGAGGATCCCAAGTTCAAAGCCAGCCTCAGCAACTTAGGCCATAAGCAACTTAGAGAGACTGTTTCAAAAAATAAAAAGGGCTGGGGATTTGGCTCAGTGGTTAAGTGTCCCTGGGTTCCTGAGTTCAATCCCTAGTACCAAAAAGAAAAAAAAAAAAAAAGGCATTTGGTGATCTTTACCTTTTCATTTATCCTTGGGGGAAAAAACAAAAGGCCTAGGGTTGCTGCCCATGCAGWTCTGTGCTCCACAGAGACTTTCACTCATCCAAAATGAAATACGGCTTCCTCCCTTACCTGCCACTGTCCAAGGTTATCTCCCAGTTCAGGCCCCCAATGTTAGTCTCCCAGGAACGCATGATGCGGCCTCCATTGGACACAGTGATTGCATCTGGAAAAGAAAAGACCAAGGTGAAATTATTTCCCAAACTTGCTCTGTCACTTCCTAGGGTCCATATAAACAGATGATAAACAGGAGCACCCCTCCTCTTTTCCCTATCAGACCCCATACAAAGGAAGGAACCAAGGAATGGGAAGGGGTTGCCCCCACAGTGGAAGCCCCGCAGGCCTCTGCTCACCCTGTCCATGGAGCAGCATGGCGTCCACAGCCCCCTCTGCCGTGCCCTTGTCCACGTGGCGCCACACTGAGAGACACAAAAGTCAGGCCTTACTATGAACATTACCATGACCCAAAAAGAGGACTGAAGAGGTCTTTGTTTGCATAAAAGCCTCCAATTTTATTTAGAAGGAGGAAAAAAATTCAACTAACTGCCCAAGATGCAGTCCTGCTCGCTGCATAGGAGGAGTAGAGAGGAGGCACAAATATGCCCATCTGAAGTGTCTGCTCATCCAGTCCCCACTGCCACYCCCATCAAACACATAAATGAGATGGGTATGATGATGCACACCTGTAATGCCAGCTACACAAGAGACTGAAGCAGGAGGATTGCCAGTTGGAGGTCAGTCTGGGCAACCTGGCAAGACCCAGTCTCAAAATAATTTTTTTTTAAAAAGGGCTGAGGATGTAACTCAGTTTACAGTACTTGCCTAGCAATTGCAAAGCCAAAGGTACTATAAAGAAAAAAAATATATATTATATGCACATATACATAAAAGCATACACACAAAATAAATAATGATAAGATTAACAAAAAATATTACAAGAAAACAGTGATTATAAATTCTATTTTCATGATTTTAGTGCCTAAACACAATCCACCCAGCAGATGTGATTTCAAGGTAGGAGTTACTGCAAAATAGTATAATGTGCTTTCTGCAGCAGTGTCTTATTTAAGGATACTCAAGACTGAGACAATAAACTGCAAAGGCCAGTGCTAGGAATATGTGAATTAGTCAAAGGTGAGAAGAAGTCTGAAAAAACTATCACAATCCACCAAGAAAGGCACCTTTTAGCCATCATGTCCCTGAATTGGGGACTAGTCAGGCAAGCACAGCAAGCCACAGGCCACTTGGATTYATAGCTATCAGCCTTGCCACCCTGAAGCCAGTCATTCTGCACAGCTCACTCACAGATTTCCCCAGTTCGGGAATTTAAAGCTGCAATCACATTCTTCTCCGTGGCCACAACCAACTTCTTGGATCCAGGGGAAAATTCCAAGGAGGCAAACTTGAGCTTCCCAACATACTGCTGTCTCCTGAGAAAAAGAGTGCAGGGGAACACAAGGGTCAAAATCACTGCACAAAATGCTTTGCAAAAAGACAACTCACTGGGTTATCATCATCACACCTACCTTAAGACAGATAAGAAGTGGTTGTTAATGAAAAGAGCTGACTAAAGGCAAGATGTCCATGCAATGCAGTCAGAAGCAAAGGGAACGAGGGTATGTACCTCTGAACAGCTGAGAAATACTAAGTCTTCCAGCTTAGTATTTGCTCAAGGTGATACTTTAAAAAGCCCCCGTCCCAAATCCCACTAGAACAAAGCTAAAGTCTTTTCTGTATTCACTGATAGTCTGACTAGGCACTCACTTAAAAATGGAAGAACCCAGGCCCTGCCTTCAACGAGCATACAATCCAACTCTTTTCACTAGCTATGGAGAAAAAAGCATTTCCAACCCAGCTCCACAAACTGGGTGAGGCCTTCGTCCTCCGTGGCCCTTTGTAAGCCCACACATACTCAGTATCCACCTGATTAGCACTCACTCTCTCGCTGGGCTACATCCACCACTCAGCACTCTTACCTGCACAAAAAGGGAACAAAACTAGTTTCACAAGGTAGACTGTCGCATACAGGAGTGCTTGCCCGTTCCTATCAAAAAAGGTCTGCCATCCCTAGCACACTAAGTACACATGACATTTACACTGCATTTCTCTTTATTATGATGTTGCTTGGTCTAGGTTTTGTTTTGTTTTTTGTTATTTTGTTTGTTTGTTTGTTTTTTTGTGGGACTGGGGGCTAAATCCACAGGCACTCAACCACTAAGCTACATCCCATCCCTTCTTCATTTTTTATTTTGATACAGAGTGTTACACAGGCTGGCCTTGAACTTTTAATCCTCCACCTCAGCCTCCCAAGTACCTAGTCCAGTTTTTTTGTTTTGTATGTTTTTTAAAGAAACCAAACTAGTAGTAGAGAGATGGGTTTATATTTGGCAGTTTCTACCTGCATTTGCACATATTTTATTCTCACTGTATCCACTGAAAAACCCTACAAAGTATGTTAAAAAAAAAAAAAGTAGTATTACCCCCATTTTACAGGTGAGAAACTCAAAGCCCAGAGAGGTCAATTAATTACTGTTAGAACTAGGACCCAAAAAGAAGACTTTCTGACAATAAATCACATTATCTCTTGAAATACTGTTGTTTTGGCCAGTGCAGTGGTACATAGCTGTGGTTCCAGCTACTCAGGAAGCTAAGGCAGGAGGATCACTTGAGGTCAGGAGTTTGAGACCAGCCTAGGCAATACCCAATTGGGCAAAACCCAATCTCTAAATTGGGGGACGGGGGTACTGGTAGAGTGCTTGCCTAGTATGTGTTAAGACCTGAGTTGATCCCCAGCCCTGCAAAAAGGATGGGGAAMGTGGTGCTGGGGGTGTAACTCAATATGCATGTGCACAGCCCTGTGTTCAAGTCCCAGCAATGCAAAGATGGGTGGTGGTGTAACMTCGCTCATATGGAAAATATGAAAAAAGCATAAAGGTATAAAAACAAACCTATAATACCAATGATATGGACTGAATATTATGAATCTATCTGAGACAAAAACAATTCACAGAAGAGGAGATATCTGAGTTGGGCCCTGATGGAGTGTAAACAGTAATAATGGGTAACATTTATTGATTGCACTCTATGAATCAGACTTTGTGCTAAGTACTTTAAAGAGATTATCTCATTCATCCTCTGAAATTCTATAGGACAGTTAGTAAGCTCGTTTTACAGATAAGTAAACCAAGGCACAGAGAGGTTCAGTCACTTTCCCAAGACTACAAATTCTTAGGGGCATCCTGTGCAAAATGAAAATATTTAAATGGACATTTAAATAGAAGCAAGCCATCTACAGGGCCTTAAGGAAGGGGTAAGTGAATAAGTTCATGGCATTTCCTGGCTGATGAGTTTGGGGTGGCCATACTCTGAGCCCTGGGCTGCCCTGGGATGAAAAAGGGGGAAGAGGCCTCAGTTTAAGACTTATAAGACATAAAGCCCTGTTTACGTGCCTAGGAGACAACAACCAATTAGAGAAAGAATGAAAGTCCACTGAGGCCTGGTGACCTCTGACACCCGGGAGACCAGCAAGCTGACAGTCATAGAAATGAAACCTGAAGAGGGAGAAGGAATCAGTGATCCCTGACCAGAACCCCAAAGCCTGCCTGTATGGTGGCGCCGACACCGTGGGCATGCAACCTGTACAGTACAAGGACCAGCTTAGAAGAGGCGCCCGACGCTTGACTTAATGCTACTCGGTAGTTGTCTAAAAATTCTTGGTTTCTGATTTAAGAAATCACATATTTTCATTTTGCACAGGATGCCGCAAGTCATGTAGCCGATCCTGCTTCAACGGWAACCTCCCGGTAAGAGACAGGTGCTGGGAAACCAGCCATCTACTTCGCGAACAGGCCGCACACGTACACACCAATCAAACTTGCCCACTTGGTCTTCATACACTGCGGCCGCAGGGATAAGCAGCGCAGCCCAGAGCCACCACCGGGAAGCTAGCGTCGCCGCCATGACGGAAACTCAGGCGCCGCCGGCCCGRCATGCACCGCGCCGCAGGCTCCGCCCCCGCGGACCATAGAGTTGGGGTAGCACGCGAAGCCCTGGAGTGTGCTCGCGACTAGGAGGCCTCCGGGACTTCCGGGAAGTCGCTCTGCAAGCKCCGGAGGAAGAGGCGAGTCGCAGAGCCGATTGGGTCAGGCACACGCGAGGGCAGCCCCCGAGGGCCGTCTCAGAGGCCCCCGCCCCGCGTCCTGTTGGCCCACATCCCCGAGTGCCGCACGTGGCTTCAGCGAGATGCCAAAATCCAAGCGTGACAAGAAAGGTGGGCGAAGGGGGCATCGGGATCTGGGGGTAGGCTCTGGAGGGCGGGGACACGAAAAGGGACGCTGGAGCATCCGCGGGTGGAGGATTGGGGCGGCGGAGTCACGGGAGGGAGCTGGAGCCTGGACGGGTCCAGGGATCGGAGACTTTGCATGGCCTCCAGTGCTCTCGCAGCTCTCGTGGGCGAAAAGGCAGATCCCAAACACCTGGGCTGTGCCGGAGGTCGATTTGGCCCACGTTTCCCCCCCTCAGCCCCTTCCCGTGTCCCTTCGTTCTCTGGGCCCCTGCCACCCCGGTTTCCTTTCCCTTTCAGCACAGGCTTTTTGCCACGTCTGGCGCTTTGCAGTCTCTTCTTGGTATACTTGTGCTTCTTTCTTCATGGGGCTGTCCCTTCTTGGTTGTCAGTTTACGGGCACCTTCTGAGAGCATTCCCGACCACCTTTACTATGCTGCCGTGCTCCTCGCCGCGGACCTCTGGCACGTTCCAACAAATGTATAGGGGCCTGGCACTGTAGGTGTGGGAAAATACAGCAGTTACAGGAAGGGCCTAGTCGGGAAATAAATATATCCCCCACCCCCCAATTGAGTGTTTGTCAGGTGGTGATGAGTAAGAGTAGGGTAAAGAGAAGGCAGAGATGACATTATTTTGTATAATGCCCTCAGGAAAGTGATGAGGTGACAAATGAGCAGAAGTCTGAGGAAAGGAAGCAAGCAACCAGTGGAGATATCTGGGAGAAGTGTATTCCAAGTGAAGGGAGCAGGAAGTGCAAAGGGCTTAAAGTGGGTGCATGGTTGACACGTTGTGGGACAATAGGCCAGTGTGGCTGGAGCAGAGTGGGCAAAACAGAGTTGGGGAAGGGCTTCATAGACCTTTGTAAGGAATTGGCTTTCACACACAGGTGAAATGGGTGGACATCCTGGAGCTTGAAGGGAGGAATAGCATGGTTTAACTTGGCTTTTAAAGGATCACTCTAGTTGCCTTGTTGAGAATAGCATTGGAAGATGGGGTCAGAGGGCAAGGATGAAAGCAGCAAGGCCGGCAGTAATGCTGCCTTGGACCAAAGTCGCAGCAGTGGAGGTGTTCCGACGTGGCCAGTTGTATTTCGTTTGCCCTCCTTTGCTGCACTTGCCAGTGACTGGTATTGAGTGCCTTTTACTCTGTGCGCCTTTTAAGGACTGGGCACACCAGGCAGGATGAATAGAGGGGACCAGGCCGCTTGTTAGGAGTACTCAAGGCTTTGCAAATGGTGCTTTTGGTGTTTGTGGAATAATTTGATTCTGTGGGGTGATCCCTGTTCAGATCTGGCCAAACCCAAATTCTCCTGGACAGGGAGCAAATTGAGCCCCAGTTATTTATACAGTGGAGGTACTTGTCCCTTCCTTAAAAGGCAGTGCTACATTCTAAGTGCATGTATGCAATAGGAGATATACAGTCCCCAGATTTAGCATTCTGAGGCCAACCATTGATGGTCTCTATGCACCATGGCCAAGAGCAGAAAGGAATCTACCTCAACCAGCAGGAGAGGAGGGGCACTCCAACAGCAAGAACAAGTCTGGGCCCCTACTGCTGTGGTTAGTTTGTATAACTTACAGGAGATGTGCCTAGGAATCACCAGGCCCAGGAACGCTAGAGAGTGGTCACTCCACAGAGCCTGGGAATGGCCTTGCATGCTAGAAAATAAGTCTCCAAGACATCCAGACTCATCTCTTACCATTCTTTTTTCTTCTTTGTATTTATTAGTTTCCTTAACCAAAACCACCAAGAAAGGGTTGGAACTGAAACAGAACTTGATAGAAGAGGTAAGAGGTCGTTCTTTTTTTTCTTTTAGTGCTTGTGTTTGGTTTATAAAGGTAGGGATAGGACTGTTTGCTAGGGGAGCTTACTGTAGGGAGGTGTTTTTTTGTTTTGTTTTGTTTTTTAAGGAAAATAAAACTGCTGATTGAGCCCTTTTTCCTTTAGCAGCAGCAATACCAATAAAAACTCCCATCATGGGGATCTCCAGCTTTGCTTGAGCCCCTCCTTTGTGCCTAGCACTGTGCTGTCTCAGCATAAATCTTTCCCTCCTAGCATTCTTGTAATACAGATACTAAATTATGTTATTGCTGTTTTGTTGTTGGGGTAACTGAAGCTTCGCCAGGTTTGTTTGCCTACCCAAAGTCAAAAGACTAGCTAGTTACCAGGTACAGATGACTACACCCACCTATCTGCACTACTTCTGACCTGCCAGTCCTGGGCTACAGTAGGTTGAGAGCACTCAGTCTCCTGCTAAACAGAGATTTCATTCCTTAAGAATGGAATTCTATGCCTGGCAAGGTGGCTCACATTTGTAATCCCAGCACCTTGGGAGACTGAAGTTTGAGGATCAGGAGTTCAAAGCCAGCCCCAGTAAAAAACCAAGGTGTTTTAAGCAACTCAGTGAGACTTTGTCTCTAAATAAAATACCCAATAGGACTGGGAATGTGACTCAGTGATCAAGTGCCCCTAGGTTCAATCCCTGGTACCAAAAGAAATGTGGAATACTTTGCTGGGCATGGTAGCACACAACCTGTAATCCCAGCAGCTTAGGAGGCTGAGGCAGGAGGATTGTGAGTTCAAAGCCAGCCTCAGCAATTTAGTGAGGCCCTAAGAAACTTAGCAAGACTCTATCTCAAAAACAAAATATAAAAAGGGCTGGAGATGTGGCTCAGTGGTTAGGAGTACCCCTGATTCAATCCTCAGTACCAAAGAGAGAGAGAGAATGAGAATGGAATTCCACCTCCTGATGGCTTTGGCTTGCATCATAGGTAGAGCAGTATAGATAAGCTGCCTCCCCGAAAGGTAACAAGGCTTAAATGAAATATAAAAAGGGGCTGGGGGTGTTGTTCAGTGGTTAAGCCCCCCAGGGTTCAATCCAAAAAAAAAGGCTAGAGCAGGTTCTCTCCCATCTGAGGCAACAGTTGCCCTACCCATGCTGCCCCTTGAACTCCAGAGCCTCATGAATTGTCCCACAGCTTCGGAAATGTGTGGACACATACAAGTACCTCTTCATTTTCTCTGTGGCCAACATGAGGAACAGCAAGCTGAAGGACATCAGGAATGCCTGGAAACACAGCCGGTGAGTGGGCAGAGGGAAGTGGACTCCTTGGAGTGGCAAAGGTGCCACACTGCTCAAGAACCAGCTATAAGGGGCTGGGGTGGTGGCTCAGTGGTAGAGCACCTGCCTAGTATGTATGATGCACTGGGTTAGATTCTCAGAACCACATAAAAATTTAAAAAAAGGTCCATCAACAATTTTTTTAAAAACTAGAAAAAAAAAAAAAAAACAGCTGTGGGGTTGGTCGTGCTGTACCAGCGCTGGTGGAGACTGCTAGATGTGCCTCTGCCCATATCCAGATGAGGAGGGATCGTTCCGTGGTGCTCAGGGTGGGCCTATGGAAGGATGTCGCCAGTGTTGGTTCCTGTGTAGGAAGACAATTAAGGAACCCTGGGCTGGCAGCAGCATGATGGGCCGTGTGGAGACCTAGGCGCCTCTAGCCATGCCTCCTGGCGTACTTGGGCCTGGGCTCCTGTGAATTAGAGAATTTAATGGAGAGGCAGGGCCTTCCTTCACAGCCCCCCCTTTTTCTTGGTAGGATGTTCTTTGGCAAAAACAAGGTGATGATGGTGGCCTTGGGCCGAAGCCCGTCTGATGAATACAAAGACAACCTGCACCAGGTAAATCACTGACCCTCACAGGGAGGCGCTGAGGCTAAGCTGCCTTCTCTCCAGCTGCTCCCACGTGCCACACCCACCTCCTCCAGCCACGTGGCCAGCCCATCGACACACCTGGCATGTCTTACAGCTTTGGGTTCTCCCTTCACCTTGAGACGTGAGGAGGGGTGTGGGTGTGTGTCTGTGTCTTCAAACATTATCAGGTGTCCCCTGGGGGACAAGACCACCCCCAGTAGAGAATCAGGGCTCACTTTTGGTTTGCAGGTCAGCAAGAAGTTGAGGGGTGAAGTTGGTCTTCTTTTTACCAACCGCACAAAGGAGGAGGTGAATGAGTAAGTGCTGGTGAGGAACAGAGGGAGGGAAGGTAGGAGGATCCCAAGGGCATCAAGTCGGAGCTGGCTTCTGGAAGCCTCTTACTGAGACCGGGGGCCTGTGACCAGAGGCATCTTTGTTCTCTCCAGCATGGTGACCAGCCTGGCTACAGGGCCCCAGCACCCTAGCTGGGAGGACCTGACCTCAGCTGGCTGGTGGCCCAGTCTGGAACCTCCCCCCACCTCTTACTTCTGTTTTCCCCAAGGTGGTTCACAAAATACACAGAAATGGACTTTGCCCGAGCTGGCAACAAAGCAACTTTCACTGTGAGCCTGGATCCAGGGCCCCTGGAGCAGTTCCCCCACTCCATGGAGCCACAGCTGAGGCAGCTGGGCCTGCCAACTGCCCTCAAGAGAGGTACGGACAGTCCCTAGAGCTGAGAGGCCATGGCCCAGAGCCCAGGAGCACGCACACACAGGCTCTCCCCTTGCTGGCCGGGCAAGCCTCTGTTTTCTCATGTGAAAATGGAGTCGAGTGCCCCTCTCCTAGTTGGAGTGGACAGTGAGTTAAAACCAGAGTACAGCACTTAAGGAACTTTGAGGAGGCAGCCACTGAGTATGAGCCATGGGGACAATGAGCTCTCACCACATGCTTAGCTCCTGCTGCAGTGGCAGAAAGTGTCATGCAGGCCTCTGTGCAGGAGTAACGTGGCCACCCTCCTGCAGGCGTGGTGACCCTGCTGTCTGACTACGAGGTGTGCAAGGAAGGTGATGTGCTGACCCCGGAGCAGGCCCGCGTCCTGGTGAGTCTGGGACACAAGGGCTCTGGTAGGAGGGATGCCATCTGTCACCCGCTGCAAGTGCCTGGGGTCATACTCTTCTCCTCACTCTTRCTTCCCTTTGCAGAAGCTTTTTGGGTATGAGATGGCTGAATTCAAGGTGACCGTCAAATACATGTGGGACGCACAGTCTGGAAGATTCCAGCAGATGGGAGATGACTTGCCAGAAAGCGCATCTGAATCCTCAGAGGAATCAGAGGAGGACGAAGATGACTGACTTGGGGACTCGGGACCGAAGACCTTCTAGCACGTTCTGAGTCTCCATCACACCACGCAGAATTGCTACTGCCCCTCTGGAGGAAGCAGTTATTTATTTTTGCTGTTGATGAAGCCAAGTGTGGGTGACGGGAACTGTTCCATAAAGAATAAAACTTGGTCTATGGGGTGCCACCCTGTAGATAGCAGGAGACTTTTCTTAGAAAAAAGGCCTTTGGGTATGTGCTCTGTTTGGGTCCAGTACCACCCAGTCTGGTGACCTAGATGGCCAGTACAGCTTTGGCTCCTGTGGGGCCACAGTGGCAGTGCAGCTTTGCAGTTCTGGGGACAGCCAAGAGCAGACCCTAGAACTAGGCTTTGTCCTCCTTTCCAGCCTTGATGCCCTTTGCTTGGAATAGACTTGAAGAAAACCAGGCCCAGGCCCCTGGTGGCCCTTTGCAGCCCTGCTTACGTGCTCCCTAAACCAGGGCCTGCTGGTGGCTGCCAAGAAGCCAGGGCTCTAGGATGAGAGTGAAGCCTCTGCTGGGGGCGAGAGCGAGCATTCGGAGTCTTGCAGCACTCTGGAGGTTCTGCTCTGGGTGGCTACCGTGGTAGGTCTTTGTCCATATCGCTTCATATACAGGTATTCAGTGAAAGCATCAGAGGAGAGAGCTTCTGTTTCAGGCAACATCTATTCTTTGGTTTATGTCTACTCTTCATGGCGTCTAATTCCCTTTAATYTTCCTCTGCCTTTACCTGGCCATAAAGGTATTCTGTGGGGCCYGAGYGTGTGGGTCAGTGKTRAGTRCTTGTCTAGCACAGCATGCTTGAGGTCTTAGMATCAGTTCCCAGMRTCACCAASAAATAAATTCTCTGACCTACCTGTTGGAATAGTAGGTCTTAAGACCCCCATTCCAGAGGGATCCTGCCCCATACCCTCAAGGGAGGAAAGCTGCACCAAGAAGCCAAGACAAAGCTGAACAGACAGCCGTGCTGGGATTCCCCACCCAGTCTGTTGGTAAGCATGCCTGTGCAAGGAAGCCTCCGCAGAAACACACAGGGGGCTTGATGTGGCACCCCATCGATCCCAGCTTCTCAGGAGTCTAAAGCAGGACAAGCAGATTTGAAACCATCCTGGGCACTTAGTGAGACCCTATTWGAAAAATCGTTAATAAAGGGCTGGGGATGTAGTTCAGTGTGGAGTGCTTGCATAGGGTCAGTACCACCAAAAACCCAGGTGCAGTGTCCACACACCTGTAATCCCAGCTCACAAAGGCTGAGGCAGAAGAATTGCAGGATTGAGGCCAGCCTGGCCTCAATTTAGCAAGACTCCATCTCAAGATATAAAACTAAAAAGAACTGAGGAGGTAACTTGGTGGAGTATCCCAGAGTTCACTCCCTAGTACTTAAGAAAAAGACTTACATTCAGAGAGCATCTGGGTATGTGGACCCGGCAGTTCCCCAGAGAGCAGAGGACAGCACACCCAGAGAGGGCTGGAAACTGCATCGCCGACCCCCACGTTCCTCACCCTACACATCTCTTTACCCGTTTCCTTTGTAATATCTTTTGTAATAAAACTGGAACCATAAGCAGTGAGTTCTGTGAGTTGCTTAAGCAGATTAACCTGAGGAACCCTGGTTGTAGCCAGTGGGTCAGAAGCACAGGTAAAGCAACGTGGAATTTGCAATGTCATCTGAAGCGTTGGGGGGCAGTCTTGGCGACTGCACCCCTAATCTATGGGACTGTGGGATCTGATACTGTTCCCAAGAAGGTAGTTTGGGGATCAGGTTGGATAGAGCACCCCACTGGTGTCCACTGCTGCTGAATGGTCTGTTCCTTTGCTGGGTGAAAACTTCCCTGTTGATAGGGTGCGAGGGGGAGGAAGGCCGCTGCTTTTCCTATCAGCATCATGCGAAGCCTTCTATCCATCAGGCACATAAGAGGCCACTCGCAGCCCCGCTGTTGAGAGGACAGGCTAGATTCAAGAGGTGGGGGCTGGGAGACCCTGCTGCTTGAAGACTTCAACTCATGCTCCTCCTCCCCCAGAACAGCAGAAAGCAGCCTTTGGCAGCAGAGGAAATATTCACCAGGTTCACCTCAGGCCTAGGCTTCAGCCAGGCCAAGTGCCAACTTTATTCAACAGGAGATGCTGGGGCCGAGCTCAGGTGGCCCCGCATTGTGAAGGCATCTGGGAGTATTGTAAGAAAACAGAAGAAAAATGATCTGCGAACTGTGGTGAGGAGGGAGAGAAGGGCCAAATCAACTAAAGGCTAAAATTGGCCAGGGTAGCAAAAAGAGGACAGGCAGTGCTCTGCATCTGAAGTCAGGTTCAGGCCTAGCGGAAGTATTTGGGACACTCGTGAGCAACCAGGTGCCAGGCTTGATCAAAGGCATCTACAACAGCTGGCTCCAGGGGCCCTWCTTCAGCTGCAGCCAAGTTCTGCTCCAGCTGCTCCAGGCTGGTCATGCCCAGGATGACCGCGTCCCCATGGGCGCCCTATAAGGGGAGAAGGCCAGACTTCAGCATGCTTCTCTGTCCAGTGGCTCCAATCATATGTCCCTCCCTGCCCTGCCCCTGCCAAGATTTGGGATCCGTTATTTAAGTCTTTTATTATTCTGGCAAGAATTTCTGTTGCCCCCAAATAGTCACAGCCATGTGGCTCATAGAGCCATCCCTCCACGTCTCATCAGTAGAGAGCCTCAGCAGCGGGGTAGGGCTGGTCACCTTCCATTTCCAACTGCCTTTACTTTGGAGGGTGGCTGTAACAATTACATATTTCACGAAGTACTTTGCTCCAGGTCTGGTTCTTTTTTTTTAATATTTATTTTTTAGTTTTAGGTGGACATAATATCTTTATTTTTATGTGGTGCTGAGAATAGAACCCAGTGCCTCATGCATGATAGGCGAGCGCGCTACCACTTGAGCCATATCCCCAGCCCCAGGTCTGGGGCTTAACAGAAGCTCGCTAAAGGCGAGCCATTTCCCTAGAATGCCCACCCTGGAGAAACCAGTCAGGAAGACTGGGGCAGCAGGGAGAGAGGGAGGTCCCCCAGCCACAGGTGTAGAGCTGGGGTCTATCCAGGATGGGCAGGCAGAGAGGCAATAATTGCTAATGGTTAAAATAATGGAACTGGGTATGGTAGCCTGTAATCCTACCACTGGGGAGGCCAAGTCAGGGAGAGCCCCAGCCTCAACAACTTAACAAGACCTGTCTCAAAAAGTTAAAAAAAGGGGGGGGGGGCTCAGGATATAGCTCAGTAGTAGAGAACCCTGGGTTCAATCCCCAGGACCAAGAAAAAAAATCACAAAACTAAAAACATAAATGCAGACTTCAGAGTCAAATCCATACTTACTCCCTACCACATGAAGCTGTGGGAACTGAGGCAAATGAAATAGCATCTCTGAGTCAATATGGTAAGCTGGCACTTCAGTAACTGATCTAGAACAACAGGACGGCCACCCAAAAGAACTGAGCCATTTCAGAGGAAGAAAAAGAGTAATCACAGAAATAGCCGAATAATTGTATAGGCCCCCTCCCTTCTTCCCTGTCTCACCCCCACCCCTAATATAAAAGAAGAAGCTGTGCCCCGGGGACAGCTGGTTACCTGCAGCTGCGAGTGGTGGTACATCCATCTCAGGGCGGCCGAGGTCATGCTGGGGGCACTGGTGCCATAGGTGGCCTGCAGGGCCTTCTCCATCAGGGCAATGGCCTTGAAGTGGTCCTCCTTCCAGAAGCTGAGCAGGTGGGGAGGTGACACAGGGGTCAGTACCTTGGGATCATTCCAGGGTGGCCCAGTCCTAGACACACTGAGACCAGCATCCTCAAGTAGAAGTGTTAAATTTTGAACCTCAGAATGCTTGCAGATTTCCAGGTGCCCTGTTTTGAGTCCGGGGATGCACTGGGCAAGAATCCTGGCATTTAACATGCCCAGCAGGCGGTAACAATACAGCTCCCAAAAGTGGGATGCTCAAGTACCTATAGCACCACACCTGTGTGCCCTGGGTCACAGGAAGGACCCATGACAAGTTCTGGGCCCAGGTCCAGCTTCTGTGGCCTTGACTAAGCCACCTCCCTTCCCGGCCCTCAATTATCTGCTCAGTGAAGGAAGGAAACACTCCCTGCCAGTCCCATATAGTGACTACAAGAGGTGACAAACTGATCATGCCTTGTGGACAGGAGAGGGTGCACCAGAGAAGACCATCAGGCCCTGATTCTCCACAGCTGAGGCCTGCTCCCTGGCACAAGCAAAAAGGAACTTGAGAAGCACAGACCAGGGCCATGGTTCCTAAACACAGCAGGAAGGACCTGAAACGGGGGTGGTGGGGTGGCGGTGTGCAGATAAGCCTTTAAATCAGCAAAGTACCCAAAGTGAGCACAAATATCAGATGCTCTGCCTCTTCGTCCTTGGCCATTTCACAAAACTAGCACTGGGGTCTCCTGCACACTGCTTGACTTGCTCTGCCTTCCCCTCCCTTGGGGGAAAAAGAAAAGCAAATATCTAGCATGTGTGATCTGAGGTATACACTTTGTTGCCGTTCTTTAATTCATTAAATTGACATGTCCCCTTGTACTGCTGGAGAACTATTTCTCAATTTGCAGAAGTCAAGCCTCCAAGGTTAGTTTTTTTTTTTTAAAGAGAGAGAGAGAGAGAGAGAATTTTTAATATTTATTTTTTAGTTCTTGGCGGACACACCATCTTTGTTGGTATGTGGTGCTGAGGATCGAACCCGGGCCGCACGCATGCCAGGCGAGCGCTACCGCTTGAGCCACATCCCCAGCCCCTCCAAGGTTAATTTCTGTGTACAGTATGATCTATTTGCAGGTGGTAAGGGAGATGAAGAAGGGCATAGGGGGCTGGGGGTGTGGCTCAGTGGTACAGCGCTGCCTAGCATGAGTGAGGTACTGGGTTTGATTCTCATAAATAAATAAAATAATAGATCCATTGACAACTAAAAAATTAAAAATAAAAAAAGAAGGGCACAGGAAGTCGGGGCAAGATGATAAGTGAGGAGGTTGCAGGCAGGACCAGAATAAAGGGGCAAGAAGAGGGTCTTCTGATAAGGTCAACTTCTTGCATGGACAGGGGGCACCGATCGATGACAGTGAGGAACATGTAGATGGGGAGGAGATAAGGAAAGGAGGAAATTCCAGAGACCATAAAAAGCACAGGTCAAAACTCCCCCACCAGACTCCCAGCTCTGGGCCCCTTCTCTCTGAAGAAGTCTATCTCTGTCACTTTTACAATAAACCTGTTTCAGGGCTGGGGTTGGGGCTTAGTGGTAGAGCGCTTGCCTAGAACACGAGAGGCACTGGGTTCAATCCCCGGCACCACATAAAAAAATTAATAAATAAAATAAAGATTAAAACAAAAAAAAAATAAATAAACCTATTTCTTTGCTTCCTATCTGTGTGTCCTGTTCTTCAATTCTTTTCTGAACAGAGACAAAGAACCCAGAACCCCTAGATGGTACCAGTGGCACATGCCTATAATCTCAGTGAGTCAGAAGGATTGAGACCAGCCTTAGCAAGTTAAAGAGACTCTCAGCAGTCAGGCGTGGTGCACACCTGTAATCCCAGCAGTTCGGGAGGCTGAGACAGGAGAATCATGAGTTCAAAGTCAGCCTCAGCAATGGTGAGGCGCTAAGCAACTCTAAGACCCTATCTCAAAAATGAAAAAGGGCTGGGGATGTGGCTCAGTGGTCGAGTGCCCCTGGGTTCAATCCCTGGTACCAAAAATAAATAAATAAAGAGACTCTCAGCAACTTAATGAGACCCTGTCTCAAAAAGTAAAAGTGTGGGGAGCGGTGCCTAGTGTTGTGGCTCAGCGATAGATAAACACAACCTAGATAGGCACAACCTAGCACGAGTGAGGCCATGGATTCATCCTCAGCCCCACATAAAAAATAAATAAAGATATTGTGTCCAACTACAATTAAAAAAATTAATATTTTTTAAAAAAATAAAATGGGGACTGGGTATAGATATAGCTCAGTTGGTAGAGTCCTTGTCTCGCATGCACAAGGCCCTGGGTTCAATCCCCAGCACCACTATATATATAAAAGCCACATATATAAAAGAGGTTGGGGGCATAGCTCAATGGTTAAGTACTGTGGGTTCAATCTTTTGTGCAAATGAAGAAATGAATGAAATAAAATATTTTTTAAAAAGAAAAGGAAGGGAAAAAGTGGCTGGCCCCAACAGCTGTCCAACCAACTGACTTGAGGCACTGATGACAGTGTTACTGCCAAGAGTTTACAAGACTCAGCGTGCCCCAGGGGACAGGGCCAGCACCGAGTCCCAATTTCCCCCAAGTCCATCCACAGTTGTCCCCTCCTGTGGACCCTGGAGGAGCTCTTCCCAGGGAAGAGACAACAGTGCAGACTGGAAGAAAGCAGGGATGCACATCCCAGCCCCAGGTCCCTTCCTAGAGGCCATCAGGACCGCAAAGGGGGAGAAGGGGCTCTGTAAAGCCCCTGGGAACTCAGAGACCTAGTTCTGAGCAGCAGGGGAAGAGGCTGCCCCGGGAAAGCAGCCTCAGGGACCACTGTCTCAAACTAAGGGAACCCACCCACGTCCCATCCTGACCGTCCACCCAGCTCACCGATCCCTGTAGATCTCAGCCCAGGTGTGCCCGAAGAAGCGGCCCAGCGGCTGTTTCCCGTCCTTGTCCTCGTACTTGTACTTGCCGGTCAGCAGGCCCCCTGCGGAAGCATGCATCACACTCCAGCCCAGGCCGCTCCCAGGGCTGACACCCCTCACAGATCTGGACTGGGGAGCAGGAGGGACCCAGGAGGGATGAGGGGTGCAGCCCAGCATCTGTCAAAGCCCCCTCGACTTCCCAGGGCCAGGGCTGGGCATCTACCTGGGCAGGAATAGGCACAAACAGGGCAGGAATGCCCACTACCCCCCAGAGGGCCTGTCCCAGGGCAGCCCATACCAGCCAAAGGGTTGAAGGCATAGAATCTCAGTCCAAATTGCCTGAGGCAGGGGAAGAGCTCTGTTTCCACCTGCCGGGTGGTGGCGTTGTACATGCCCTGCAGGGAGAAGGGACAGTTGGAGAGTGTGGGTGTGTCAAGGGAAGGGACATCAGATGTAACCCACAAAACCCTCAGCTCAGACCTTAATGGTCCCAGGACCCTGCCAATCAGGACCTGTGCTGACAAACAGCAGTGGAGAGGACTTATTCCCGTGGGAAATTAACTCTGATGACGTCCTCTTACTACACGAGTAAGTTCCGTGACAAGCGCTGGGCACCAAGCAGTGCCCAAACACTTGCTGTCTGAGGGGGAGGAGGACGGAGCCTGAGATGTCAGCTCCTGGGACTATGAGGAGGTACTCCCAGAAGAAGAGCCACTTAACTGAGACTGAGCACCTCTCCCAGGGAGCGGGGCATGGAAGGAAGGGATCAAGGTGCGCACTGAAGCACGAAGCAAGCTCGTGCCCAGTGGCCAGGCTGGGGAGCTCGGCCTGAGGGCACCTGGGAGCCTCCCACTGGCTCTGAGCAGGGGTGTGGCTGATAGGTAGAGGGCACAGGGGCCAGTCAGAGGGGCAGGGAAACCTGGGAGCAGCAGAGCCCTGGAGCCCGAGGCCTCTGCAGCCCTGGCACACCAGGGAGCCTCACCTGGTACACGGTCGGCAGGATCCAGCCGTTGCTCTTGCACAGGGTACAGATCTCAGCCACCTCCCAGGCGGCATAGTTGGACAGGCCCAGCTCCAAGAACTTGCCCTGTGGGGGTGAGAACACAGTCAGAACCAGGAGACCAGGAAGGGGGCACTGGGGTGGCGGGTGTGTCCCCCACTCTGCTCTGGGTGCCCTATTTTTCTGGTAGTGCCAAGAAGAGGAGCAGAGCAGAGGTGACTGCCCAGAGTTTGGGGCCACCCTCACCTCCTGGTGCAGCTGGTGGCAGGCATGCAGCGTCTCCTCCACGGGGGTGCCGTGGTCTGGCATGTGCAGGTAGAAGAGGTCCACTCGGGGACACTGCAGCCGCTTCAATGATGTCTCCAGCTGAGTCCGTAGACTGTCAGGCTTTAGTGTCATTCCACCCAATGGAATGGCCTTAGTGGCAATTTTCACTATTTGAGGAGAGAAATGGAAGCTCAAGCCAGTTTACCAAACATCAGGATAACGATTAAGAGACAGATCTGGGTTCATATCCCAGCTCTGCCATTATCTTTGTGGCCTTGACTAAATTCCTTAATCTGAGTCTCAATCCTCTCAACTGTAAAATGGGAGTGAAAAAGATGTTTTGTTCTGCCCCCCACACCCCAAATGGAGGATTGATCTCAGGGGTACTTGGTCAGGGGCACTTGGTCCCTGAGCCACTTCCCCAGCCCTATTTTGTATTTTATTTAGAGACAGGGTCTCACTGCGTTGCTTAGCACCTCACTGTTGCTGAGGCTGGCTTTGAACTTGTGATCCTCCTGCCTCAGCCTCCCGAGCCTCTGGGATTACAGGCGTGTGCCGTGCACCAGCAAAAATGATATCTTGTAGGGAAATCCTGACGATTGATCAGACTTGGCTGAAAATCTGAGCTGCTGATGGCCTCACTATGTGATCATATATAAGGCACAGGGGTTGGCAAAGGAAGGGGCTCCCTGCCCTCAAGGACTGAGTCTAAGGGGCCACTCAGGAGAAAGAAAGACAGGAATATTCACAAGGTACTAGAGAAGCCTGGAGCAGAGGCGAGCGGCTACCTAGGCACTCAGGAAGGCTTTCCCCAGAACCACAATTTGAATCTCCAAGGGTAAGTCAGAGGCCACCAGTTGAGGAAAAGTGGGAGGCTCACTCCAGAGCATGGGGACACAGGCAAGAGCCCAGGGCAAGGACGTCCCGTGTGGGAGCCATGCTTACTAGTTACAGCTCAGGGCACCAGTCTCTGGTTGCATACATGGGGCAATAGAAGGGGCCACAGACCAGACACCAACCAGCCCTAACTGCATCCAGGGACTTTAGGGGACTGAACGCCTTTGAGTGAGGAACTCCATGGTCAAAGTCATAGTTTTGAAAGATGACCTGTATGCAATATGGATGAAACACAGGTGTGGGGACAGGGAGAAGAGTGGGAGGGCACAGCTGGAACTCGGGGCTCCCAGGAGAAAAAGGGCAAGTATCAGCTGGAGACTGCTCCCCAGAACACAGGCCAGCAAGGGGCCTCCAGGTGAGTTCACGCTTTTCTCCCTGCCCCTGTGAGAAGCCCAGTTAGTTGGACAGATGGGTGAGAGGAGAGTCCTCTTCTTGCTTTCCATGTTTGGAAAGTCACTTGGGCAGGTCAGAGGGCAGTCCCCAGTGCCCTTGAGACCCGGGAGAGAACAAGTTCAAAGAAGTATGCATTTTTTTTTAAATATTTTTTTTAGTTGTCAGTGGTCCTTTATTTTATTTATTTATATGTGGTGCTGAGAATGGAACCCAGTGCCTCACGCATGCTAGGCAAGCACTCTACCACTGAGCCACAACCCCAGCCCTGAAGAAGTATGCATTTGGAACTTTAGCATCCACCACATTTTCTGTCCTTCATGTCAACTTAACTTTAGATCTGAGATCTGGGACTTTGGCCCAGCAAACTCTGGGAAGTAGGTGTTGGGAAAGAAAAGGAAAAAAAAATCAGAAATCAAAGATCAGAGTTCTCACTGAGAGGCAGCCAGGGGTTCTAGAAAGAGGGCAGCATTGAAATACTCATATCTCCTTTTGTTCCAGATCTATCATACTGTGTGATAGACCCCAGCCTGATTTTCTCTTAAAATTGGAGCCATCTCACCACAAGGCCATGCAAAGCTAATTTCGGCTTTACTATAAATTCCTGCAAATTCTGAACAAGCTTGGAATGCCTGCCCGTGCCTTGAACTCACCCATGCCTGGCTCTCTGACCAGACAGCAGCTCTCTCTGAAACTTTAGTGACGCCTCACAAATCTTGGCCTTCCCTGGCCAGATAACAACCCTCTGAGGCTCTAATGACCTTCATAAATTCTGATGTCGGGGCCAGCAAAAATGTAAACCAGCCTTTGTGTTATGCTCGTCAGAGTTCTGTTATCTGTAACCCCCCTTTGTGTAACTGTCTGGGCTATTAAGCTGGGCTGCAGGAAAGCTGCGGCTGCTGTCTTGTTCCCGCGGTTTTGGGTGGGAGAGGAAGCCCGGCCAGTCGAAATAATAAGCTTGCTTTAATTTGATTTTAATTGCAGTCAGTGGTCTTTTCTTGCGTCCTGGTCTAACACTGTGAAGCAAAGAGCAAGGCTCCATTGGAGGGGGACAGAGGAAAAAGCCAGAGTGGAAGGAAGCTAAGGGCGATATTAGGAAGAAAGCAACCATGAAATTTCACATTGTGACATGGCGTGCATTATCAAATATGGAACAACAAATTCCATCATTAAGTACAGCGATAATGCACCAATGTAAAAAATGTGGAGGGGAAATAAAAGAAGAAAGCAAATCACCTGGTTGGGTGGCACACACTGATAGTCCCAGCACTTCAAAAACTAGAGGATCATTCCCATGATCCCAGGAGTTTGAGATCAGTTTTGGTGAAGTAGGAAGACCTCATCTCAAAACAAACACCAAGAAAAAGAAAGCAACAGCCAACTTGTCTGTGCGCAAGCACTGGAAATGGCATCGGACCTGCCTCATACACACCTCTTCCCCTGACACTTCATAGATTCCTCCAGCCCCCTCAGCACCATTACCTCATTACCTTTGCATACCCATGCCCACTGCCTGGAAGCTCTTTCCCCTCTTACTCCCTCCCTGGCAAAACTCTTTCCTTTCTCTAAGGTCAACATTCCCCTGTGGGAGATTTCTTCCATGGCTCCTTCCTGGGAGGTGCCCCTTCAGGGTTGCCCAGCCACCTTTAAAACCTGAGCCTCCTAGAGTGAGCCAGTGTCGATTTCTCTCTTATTTTTCAAGAGATGAGTCCCTCTTAGGGACTCCCAGGGCTGCCACATGCTGAAGCAGGAGACACTGGCAACCCAATAGCCATCTGCAGCCAGCTACTAGGAGCTACCTCTAGGGCCCAGAGAAAGGCTGACCTGAGCAAATAAGGAAGTCCTCTGCCAGGTTCAAAGTCAGATCTGGGCAGCATTCCAGAATGCCAGGGATAAGGACAGGTTTTTTCCTGGTACTAAGGATTGTACCCAGGGTTGATTACCACTGAGTTATAAGTCCTACTTAATTTCTGAGACAGGTTCTTGCTAAGTTGCTGAGGCTGGCCTTGAGAGGGACTAGATGGGTGGGGCTGCATAGTACCAGATTTCAATGTTCTCCGGCCCCCAAAAGAACTGGTCCAGTGGATCCAGGCTAGACCAAGGCTGGGGCAACGCTGTGGGAAGGGTCCTGGGCCACCTTCCCAGAAGGGAAAGAGGAAGAAAGGAGTAAGGGAAAAAGGACCTCCAGTTGTTAGAGGCTAGAAGTGCTTGAGGAGCTTGTTGTGGGACTGGCTCCGGAGGTCGGTGCCTAGAGGACGAAGCTAGCTGGGAAGGGAGAGCTCTGTGCAGTGCAGGGCGAGTTCAGGGGTGACTGTTACCTCTGCAGTCGCTGCCGCCCAGCCCGAGCCCCAGGCCGCCTAGGATGCTCTCGGACTGGCCGTCACCGTACACGAAGGCAGTGTCTATCTCCGTGTGCCCGCGCTCCAGGAAGACACGCACAGTCTCAGCGCTGGTGGGCACGTCCATGCGGCGCCCCATCTCCATGGCGCCTAGCACGGTGGCAGGCCGGGCTTGCGACAGCGGTCGGGACATGACTGCGGTAGCGGAGGGCAACTCAGACTGAAGGTCGTGGAGCCAGGGCTACACCAGCTTCCCGACGCACCCACACCTGCACGCTGCTTTAAGAAGCTAGCAGGGTCCCGCCCACTAGGGGCGGGGCCGGCGGGCGAGGGGCGGGCCGGCGGGCGAGGGGCGGGAGTGTGTGGCTGCCACTGGCACCACTGTTGTGGTGGGGCTGGGACCGTCTTCAATCCCGTTGCGCAAACTGGGGCATGGCTGTGGCTGCCAGCGCGTGATCAGGTCTACCACTGAACCACATCCGCAGACCTTTTTTTTTTTTTTTTTTTGGATACAGGATCTCCCTAAATTACTCAGGTTGGCCTCAAACCTGAGATTCTCCTATATCAGCCTCCCAAGCCCCTGGGATTACAAGCACCGACCACCATGCACGGCAAGATTTTCTTGATTCTTTATATGACCATTTTTTTTTTAATTGATACCTGGAAATTTGGGCTATTAAGAGCTTGGTGTGTGTGGGGGGGGCAGGTATTGGGGATTGAATCCAGGGTGCTCTACCACTGAGCAACATCCCCAGCCCTTTTTGTTTTATTCTGAGACAGGGTCTCACTAGTTGCAGAGGCCAGCCTCAAACTCAATCCTCCTTCCTTGGCCTCCTGAGTAGTTGGAAATATAGGCACGGGTCACTGTGCCCAGCTTGCTATGAGACTCTTGATTTTATTTAAGCCTTCTGTTTTAGTGCATTTCTTCTGGTACTTCTAAGGGCTTCCTTATTGCCAGGGGAGGGTAAAGATGCAGTCTCCCCACCAGGCCTCCAGTGATCACTCCTTGGCTAACAGGAGTGGCAGGTCTCCTTATTGCTCCCCCACGTGGCCTCTACTGACCCCACTGGGAGGTGAGGAGCCTCTTTAGCGTAGAAGTGAATGTCCTGACACTGCACTAGGCCTCCTCTGACACTGCTCTGGTTGGGGGTGGGAGGGGAATCTTCATTACTGCCAACTGGGGGTGGGGGATCCAGGCTCCTGGAGGGGTCTCCTAGGACACGACAGTGCTGGGTGGGGCTGGGAGGCCTGTGCTGTCTGGGAGGGAGGAAAGTGCAAGCTCCTGCCCAGCTTCTCTAACACCACCCTGAGAGGCCCTAGAGGCACCTCCTAGTAGCCTGGAAGGGTGGAGGTCTGGGCTCCCCATTCAACATTTGCAGACCTGGGTGGTGATAAGGCCCCAGTTTCTGTTCTCTGGTGTTTGACTGGAGTAAAGAAGTTATTTCCTCCATCTTGCCGCCCTACCCCTTTTCTCTTGATTTGGTAAGAACGAGACTTTAATTGGGACTTTTCCTGTATTCACCTGTTGGCATTTCCAGGTTGCTGGCTTCTTCAGCTTTAAATCTGAGATCTCTGAGTGGCACAAAGAAAAACCCAAGAAATTCCCCTGTCATTCCTTAGATTCTGACGTTACCGGAAGCCAATGCAGGGAAACTGACTGGGTCCCAGCTGGCGGGATTTGGCTGTCCACCTGTGTAAGAAATAAGTAAAGGAAAGCTGGTGTGGTCATGCACACCTGGAATCCCAGAGGCTTGGGAGGCTGAGGCAGGAGGATCACAAGTTCAAAGCCAGCCTCAGCAACTCAGTGAGACCCTGTCTCTAAATAAAATACAAAAAAGGGCTGGGGAGGTGGCTCAGTGGTTAAGTGCCCCTGGGTTCCATCACCAGTACCAAAAATGAATAAAATTAAACAGCCAGCCTTGACGGCATGCACCTGTAATCCCAGCCATTGAGGAGGCGGGGGTGGCAGGATCTGGAACTAAGGAGTTAAAAGCCAGGCTGAGCAACGTGGTGAGAATTTGCATTAAAAAAAAAAGTTAAAAATATACTTTGAATGTGATAGCAGCCATACTCCTAGATATGTAGTAAAGAGCAATAAAAACATTCAAAAAAAGATTTATACACAAACTTTCATACCAGTTCATTCACAATGTTCCAACCCAAATCACCTTTCGAATGGATAAACTGTGGTCTAGTCTTACCATGGAATACGATAAAGTCAGCAATAAAATGGAGTGAGCCACTGATACACACATTGTCACTGATGAATCTCAGAAATATTTGCTACGAAAAACAGACACAAAAACCTATGTTACATGATTCCATTTTTTTGTGAAATTCTAGAAAAGTCACATTTATTAGCATGCAAAAGGCCCTGGGTTCAGCAGTGGTGGCCAAGAGTCAAATTTGGGGGAGATAACTGATGACAAAGAAGTATAAGGAGCAGGGTGTGGGGGTGCACACCTGAAATCCCAGCAGCTCCGGAGGCTGAGACAGGAGGATCCTGAGTTCAAAGCCAGCCTCAGCAACAGTGAGGTACTAAGCAACTCAGTGAGACTCTGTCTCTAAATACAATACAAAATGGGGCTGGGGATGTGGCTGAGTGCCCCTGAATTCGATCCCTGGTACAAAAAAAAAAAAAAAAAGTATAAGGGACCAACATTTAAAACTGGTGATTTTTATTTTATGTAAGTTATATCTCAATAAACCTATTTTAGTCAGCTTTTTCACTGCTGCGTCTAAAGGACCCAACAGAGCAACTGTAAAGAAGGAAAGGTTTATTTGCGGGCTCACGGTTTCAGAGGTCTCGATCCATAGACAGCAGACCCCATTCCTTGGGCTGAAGGTGAGGCTGGACATCATGGCAGAGGGCGTGGCAGAGGGAAGCAGCTCACATCACGATCAGGAAGCAGGGGAAGATCCCACTCTCCAGATACAAATATATACACCAAAGCCACACCCTAATTCCCACCTCCCCCAGCCACACCCCACCACTTCAGTTACCACTAGTTAATCCCTCCCAGGGAATTAATTCACTGATTGGATTTAGACCTCCCCAAGCCAGTCATTTCTCCTCTGAACTGTCTTGCATTGTCTCACACAGGAGGTTTTGGGGGGACACCTCACATGCAAACCACAAAACTGGATTGCTAAAGATTCGAACTATCTCCAAATGCAAGTTAAAACCACAAGGAGGTGCAGTTACACCCCAATGAGAAGAGGTAAAATTAATACCAGCCAGTTGGCGGTGGCCGACGGCTGCGATGTTCTGACTGCTAACCTGGGCTTTCCTATCAGGGAGCAAATCTCAGAGACACGGCAAATCCAGTGATTTGCAGTGGTAGAGACAGTCTCTGTCCCTCAAGTGTGGGCAGCTACTTACATTGAACATGGCCTTGGAAGCCACATGCTTGGTCCTCGATGGTATCCTCTCCTGTCGGGTCCCATTTTTGGACACAACCCAGTTTATGTGGGTTTGATTGAAAAAATACCATTAATGAATGCTGAATCAGAGAGGAAGGACCTCCTCCTATATTACACAATTCCTCTCCTGGGATCTAGACATAAATGAGCTCAAGGAAAAGGCACCGTTAAGCTCCAGAAGGTTTAAGTTCAAAGCCCAGGAGAGAGCAAATGACCACAGTAATGAAACGCCAGTCTCTAGCTAGTTATGTGTTTATTACGAACACCTGTAAGGTTTTTTTTTAATCTTTATTTATTTTTATGTGGTGCTGAGGATCGAAGCCAGTACCTCACTCGTGCCAGGCAAGCGCTCTACCACTGAGCCACCACCCCAGTCCCCACCTGTAAGTTTTTGAAGATTCCAGTGAGACAGGACCTGAAGGCAGAGCTCGGTCACTGCTGTCTGCGCCTTTCAAAGACTCCTTTTACGTTCCAACGTGCGTCTGATAACTTGGTTCAGAACATGTGATAGAATTTCAAGGCATAGGATGGACTATCCTTAAGCTTCCTAATGTTGGGCTTTGTCCTTCATGGCTGGGGCAACAAGCCAACAGTTTGCTTTACAGGAGTCATAAATGTCTCTGGAAGCTGCCAAAGTAGCCCCACAGGAGATTACTTGAGGACCTGGGCATGATGATGGTACGCACCTGTGGTCCAGCTATTCAGAAGACTGCAGCAAGAGGATCTCTTGAGCCCGGGAGTTTGAGATTAGTTTATCCTGAACAACACAGCAAGACCCTGTGAAAGAAAGATAGAGAAAGAAAGGAAGGAAGGACGGATGGAAGGAAGGAATGGAGGGAGGAAGGATGGAAGGAAAGACAGAAAGAAATAAAAGAAAGATTGCTTGAGAAATATTGCTTGGATTTGGGGGAGTACTAGGGATTAAACCCAGGGGCATTTAACCACTGAGCCACATCCCCAGTCCTTTAGAGACAGGGTCTTGTTGAGTTGCTTAGGGTCTCGTTAAATTGTTGAGTCTGGCTTTGAATTTGTGAGCCTCCTGCCTCAGCCTCCCAAGCTGCTGGGATTACAGATGTGCACCTCCCTCGCATGACCCCCCATTTATGTTCCACGTAGTCTTGGATGGGTGAAGTGAGAACTTTTGTTCCAGGGGAGCCATTATCAGAATGTGTGCTACTCAGTTACTTTCTTTTTCATTTGGCAGGGATGGAGGGTCTTGCTGTTTCCCAGGCTGGTTTCAAAGTTGTGATCCCCCTGCCTCAGCTTCCTGATTTGCTGTTATTACAGGTGGACGCCATGGCACCCACCTTTAGTTCTATTTTTTTTTTTTTTTTTGCATGCGAGGTAAGCACTCTACCCACTGAGCTATATCCCCAGCCCTAGTTCCATTTTGATAATAAAGTGTTTGGACATTTGTCGTGACAGATATTTTTGTACTAGTGTTTGTCTAACCTATTAGTAAAATAATCCAGAAGCATATTGAAAACTCTGTTAAAGGAAGATAATGTGTTTTGCATATCTCAACAGGTGAAAGCATTTGGAGGTTTTTTCCCTCACCTTTTGCCTGATTAAATATTGAAAAGCCCATTCATTAGCAAGTCCAAGTTCACATGCCAACTGCCAGTAACTGCAATAATTCTGTCATGAATGTTCAATGCTGATGGAGCAAAACTGGCCCCTTTGACTTAAGCTTCGGTAGTCCAGAGTGATTTGCCAACCGATTCCATCTTTTTTCATCTACAGAAAATACTATTAAAACGGAGAAATAGAATTGTGTTATTTCTTGAA